AGATTGTTTAACTGTATTTGTTTAACTGTATCAGTTTCACTTCTGCTTTCGCTCTCCGCCTTGTTTGGTTCGAACTTGCTCACGCACTGCCTGTTCGCCTGTACTCTTTGGCACGTCTCGGTATTATTTCGATACCACGAGATCGCCAATAAATACAATTGATCTGGATTAATAAAGTCTTCTGATTTACGAGCTATCAAAGGAACCAAGTCGTTTTTGGGAGCGTAAACGAATTGTAGTGGTGATCATAGTCCGTCCTCGACTCGACATCCACTACAAACTGGTGAGCCGTATTGGGAACACGCACATCTGGTGAACCACAACCAGTAACCCAATTCTTCGAGCACAGTTCAAACTTGGCCAATTCTCCAAACCAGATCAATCCGGTGAGTCTATTTATCTATCCACTTCTGTTGCATATATTCGTATTGATATTTTCAATATATAATATCTTGGCAACTTACCATGGTGGATAACGATAAGAATAGTATAAATATTATAGACTCTGAGGTACAGGCTATTAATTTTCGACCGGTTCCTTTCATCCCTCATGATCCAGAAGTCTGGTTCGCGGCTCTGGAATCTCAATTTGAGATCCGCCGCATAACCAACCAAAGGAAAAAGTACGCCTACGCTTTGGAATCATTGCCCGGGGATCACCTAACTGCTGTTCGTGAGGTTGTCCTCAATCCGAACGTTCCGAACATTTACGACCGTCTTAAGGATGCCATCCTTCGACATTTCCTCCCATCAAGAGAGGAACGATTGAGGACTCTCTTAGCACGTCACCTTATGGGTGATGCTAAGCCGGGCCACCACCTCACGCGCCTGCAATCCCTTGCAGGAAACTCTACAGCAAACTCCGAAATAGTCAAATAGTTATGGCTCGAAGCATTACCAGCTAGTATCCAACCAACTCTTACGGCCCTGCTCGAGGACACCCCACTGAACAAGGTGGCCCTCATAGCAGACAAGATTCTAGCACGTGTTAGCGCCAAAGACAACTATATTGTTGCCTCTACTTCTCATTCAAACATGGATTTCGATGCTAGACGACCTTCGGCTCATGGGGATAGGGACAGATGTATCCATACTCGTCTCAGTTTCCGAGACCGCTCAAATGTGCCAGCCCCCTACGTCCCCCGACCCAGGTCACGATCTCGAACAGCCGTAACGACTCGCCCCAAGCGGGCATCTTCCAAGCCACGCCAGAAGGCGGTTTCGGAAGCGAGTCTGAGTTGGTGCTGGTTCCACCGTGCCTTCGGGGTCGGTGCCCGTCATTGTCGAGCTCCCTGCTCATACAAGGCGGGAAACTCCTGAGCCGGTGAGCAAATACGGCCGTACTCACCGGCCCTTCACCTCCGTTTGACCGTTTATTTTACGTGCACGATTATCGCACCAACGCTAGGTACCTCGTGGATACAGGTACCCAAGTTTCTGTCGTACCTATCAGTAACAGTAAGTCTCAAGCTACGATGCTTCGACTACGCGCTGCGGATGACTCAGTCATTCCCAACTATGGTACACGACAACTTACGGTCAATCTGAGCAAACAGCCTTACGAAGCCCCTTTTCACGTGATTTCCCGTCACGAAAAGACCTTCAAGGTTGATCGACATGGCCGTGTCAAAGTAGTCAGCATTGATCGTCTCATGCCAGCACACGTCGATGACAGTGCCCTACCTGATAAGCCGAGACCCAATGCTAAACCCATCAAAGCTTCTAGCGGGATCTCTACATCTACTTCGGATCCCACGCTAGATGCGCCTGAGACCTCATTCTCACGTCCCAGTCAACAGCACGTATCATCTGTCCCGTCTACGGACGAGACTTCCGTCTCACGTCCAGACCAGCAGACCACACCGCCCTTGACTGTGGATTAGATTGCATGCTCACGAGACTACCGTTTCACGTTCCGGTCGCCGAGTACACCTACCCGTACGCTTTCGCGACTAATCTAATAACTGGCAGCGGATACAGTATAAGACCTTACCACTATACTACACGAATGATACACTTTTCTCTTTTTCTCTCATTTTTGTTGTTGTTTACCCCGAGCCTACGCCTCCGACCATCGCTGTTACGGTATCGTCGACTTCAGTCAACTTTGGCGAAAGCTGGCCTGATCACCCACGCTCTAGTCAACGCACTCAGTCGACCTCTCTGGCTCCAAATACGTATGGTATACATTTGGTCCCGAACATGGTTATCCTGGTCGCATCTGGTTCCTTGGCTCAATCTGGTTTCGTCCTACGTCTGCATCGTTTTTGGTCCGGACCCCTACGAACGCAACCTTCAGATTCTGGATACAAACCACTCTGGTGTAGCATGCTAATCCAAGCAATCAATACAGTACATTCCTTCTGGTACCGTTCTACGTCAAAGACTTTTGGTGGCAACTCGAGGATCAACGATCATTTCCTGTTCTGCCAACGCCTTCGTCCTACAATTGTACGTTTCGCGATCAGTCCCACGAACGAAACCGCTACGAATCGAAAGTGCAAACCCTTTCTAGCGGGGGGCTCCCGTAGTGACCGGCCAGTCTCGATAAGAACACGATTGGAATAACGGAAACAATTATTATTATTGTAACCAATTGTACCAGAGATTGTTTAACTGTATTTGTTTAACTGTATCAGTTTCACTTCTGCTTTCGCTCTCCGCCTTGTTTGGTTCGAACTTGCTCACGCACTGCCTGTTCGCCTGTACTCTTTGGCACGTCTCGGTATTATTTCGATACCACGAGATCGCCAATAAATACAATTGATCTGGATTAATAAAGTCTTCTGATTTACGAGCTATCAAAGGAACCAAGTCGTTTTTGGGAGCGTAAACGAATTGTAGTGGTGATCATAGTCCGTCCTCGACTCGACATCCACTACAATCTAATAAAATTACCTAAACGTTATTTGTGATCCCTCTTTTAGATTCAAAACATTTCAAAGCAGACAAAAATAGTCACAATCTCAAATTACTTGAATTTGACTGAATGGAAAAGTTATCATAATGAAATATTCTATAAAATTCTGTTTGCTCACAAGTATAGCTAGAAAGGTTAACCATTTCAGTGAATATAACCCAGGATATTTTCTCAAAAACAGGGGCATATTTTAAAAGGTGGAAATATACTATTCAGAAAGTCAATTACATTCATTCCATATGAGACTTTAGTTCAACCATATTAATAAATTGGTTTGATACCACTAATTTCTCATTTATAAGTGATGATTCTTATTGTTCTAACTTAAACATTCGAAGTGCTATAGCGTGTAGATCATATCATCTGAGAAGCCGTATCAAACTCATATTTGATCTGAATTATACCTACGCCTACACACTAACCCTTTCGTTACTCCGATTGAATCATATACGTCTGTCTGTCGTCCCAAAGAGTTGTGTTGAGCCTAGAGAAGAGGAAACTTGGAGATGCTCAGTGACACTTAGTGTTTGATCATGATTGGCTCCGAAGGACTGTTGGTATTCAGTGACAACACTATTTTCGGGCACAGAGACGATAACCCAGACGGTGTCACCATCAAGAAACATAGACGTGTTACACATGGCTTCCCAGAGACAAATTTCGTGCATTAATTGCTAATGGTAGTGTGGAGTTGTTTTATGATATGTAATCGTGGTAGGAAAAAACCCGTATGTGGATAGTGTTTATCGCTACGTTATGACTCCCCAGTCAGGGACCTTAGAGCATAACTATTCAACTACCTAGAGGATTGAAAACTCAATTTTTTCTGATACTCAACGCTGAATTTATTTCTAAAAACTTACGTTTTGAAATGAATCTTAAGAGAGCAATGCGTAATAGACTGCATGACTAACTATTCTCAAATTATTATCACTACTCCATCCACTAGTACTCTTTACGCATTGAAGTCGTCCAGTTCAGTCGGAAGTAAATTCTGACCTCAATTTTCGTTAATCTAATTTAACTACTTATTAGTAGAGTAAATCAAAAGAGATGTTTTAGTTAGTTTGAGGGTGCATTTCGACATACAAATTTATCTAAACCAATTGAGAAAACTTTTATCACCGATTATTAGACGGATTGTTAGTGTCACCCCTGAAAATACCATGTATTTCTTTGCCTAACAGATTCTTGGTGCTAGCAGTAAGGGTTTCAAAGTACAGAGCTAACACATATAAATCTGATGACAAAGAAGCCGTATCTGACAGGCCTCAAACAACTGTCTCTTAGGTGTTATGATCACGCTCCTAGGTCATCAAGACCACTCAAAATCTAAATTGCTCGTCAGAAGCCTCAAAAATATCCTTATTTGATATGCAGGACCGATATGCGATAATTACCCACAATATCTCTAACAATATTTGCATCGAACTTATTTTTTGGCAACAATGTAGTATCCATAGTCCTTACACAAACAGTGCAAAGCTCAAAGCTGATTAGTACATAAACTGTTGGAGCATATAAACTTTGTATATGCTAACATAAAATTGTAGTGGTCATTCAGTGGTTACGGCATTCAATTCTTAGCCACTAAGCCACGGGTTCGAACCCCGTCTCACCTACTTCAGTTTGCGGGAACGGATAGTACAACTAACCCTCATAATTAATAAAACTCCTAACCAATTACACAAATCTGTACCTGTTATGGAATGTGCTTTCTCCGTGAAATAAAATATCTATTGTTAAAATCGATGGATGAACACAATAATATATTATGTGATCGAGTGATGACTACTCACAAGACCGTATTATTGCTTCAAGGTCCCAAAAGACAAGATCACTAGCCAAATAAATAGGCTATTTAGATGTAATAAAGTAACAGCCTTAGATACAAAATATGACCACAAAATAAACATGATAAATTGTTACGAATGATTGGAGGAAATCAACTTGTAGGTAATTCATTCTCTAATAAATTAAGAGTTTTAGGCCTAAATCTTTGAAAGTTGTATCAATACCCACCTAGTAAATGGTTTAACAATAATATCTTAAGAAAACAGTAGTAGTATTAGTAGTAGTATTAACAATAAGATAATAAACAACTATATTGTTCAAAAAACCAAAACATTAAACCTGTCGTTAATGTAGCTTTTAAAGCTGATGGTATCCAACCTTTATACAACCCATACAAACCATGTTCTTTAAAAATATCTATTAAACAATAGAATGAAGCAAAAACTTGTTTACAGTGTAATCGTTTGAAATTAATATTTTTATATGTGGACAATGTATAACCTTTAGGCAATTCACCAAATGTTAAACGAGCTTTTTCAAATCCACGTATTTCTAAACGTTTTTTAGCTAAATCAAGAGGATACACAATTGTCTTAGCTAAGAGACCAGAAAATCCACCAGCCCAAAGTGGAAAATGCCAGTCTAACTGTTGGTGAGGATGGCGATCAGTTTCCAATGATGATTCATGACCTAAAAAGAAATATATACGTTATCTTAAAGATGTACTAAACATTTTATGAGTTCTCACCATTGAATAGAATTGACCAGCTATTTTCGAACAACAAACCACATTTATGAATACCTTATCATAACAGAAGAGAGAAGGCTAAGAAAGGTTGGCCAAAAAATTAGTACACCTCAGATTCCTCTAACGGATTTCTGTCACCTCTAAATTATAGAAATAATACATCTAAAACTACTCATAAAGTTCAATGTGATCTGCATCAAGCAGTTGTTCTTCGGGCACTGTTGTCATGCTATCAGAAAGTCATGGCCACTCATACACATAATTTGATTTTCTCTTCAGATAACCGAAAGAAGTATTCTTCTACAGCTTAAGTAACCAGGAAATGACAATCTTTCTTATACCTCTCACAGCATTATATAAATTGTTATAACGTGTGTCGCCAATTGTTATATCTTGTGGCCCGCCTATTAGAGAGCAGCGATTTATCGATCAGACCAATGGCACACGAAAGCCGTACGAAAAGTCTAGAGTACTCATCGGTCCTGATTCCTGTTTAGACCAGCCAGTTATATCCAGAACACCAATAACAGCCTCTGCAATATGAATCATTATTCTCAAACATACTGGATTTATATACCAATCACACAGATCACATCGAACCATCAAATAGAAAATAACATTTGTACAAAATTCAGCTAAATGTGGCTGTGAATAGGGGGAACATTAATAATAAACTGGGTATAACTCAGGAATGGTAAATCATATAGTAATAGTATGTGGAGCATTTTCCTCTTCATGAACAGAGTACAGCAGCATCTCTCCCGTATCTAGCCTTTGCTGTCCAGCTTGTGTCCGATGGGTTTCGCTGATTCCAAGTACTGCCAATTTGTATCTCCTCATTTCCATTGCTATTTGACCGGTCTTCCCGATCTCCCACGTTGTCCGGAGGTTCCATGTACATACAAAGAGTGTTGCTGAGGTTGTTAAAAGGGGCATCGGCCTCGTGACTTCCGAAGAATCTCGACTTTCATCTTGAGGCGTCACAATTATTCCTTCTACTCCCAGGGCAGAGTTTAAATGGTTTGAATTATTCTTTCTGGTTAGCGCTTTTTTAGCGAGTCAGCTTTTCTACGGGATGGGGTCGCTAACTCCATGCCCAACCCTCCTCCTTTACCCAGGCTTGGGATCAGCAATAACTCTAGAAAAGCTACAGGCGGAATTGAGAGCTCTTTTAATCCATATTAAGGATGAAGTGTGTCAACTTGGGTTGTTTGTAATAGTTTAACTATGAAAAGTATTGATAACCACTTCTAAAGACACAATACAACCATAGATAAATACTTGAAATATATGGTGATTGGGCGAGTACGAATAGAAATATTCATAAAAAACTAAATGAACCCACTAGTCAGACCCCATAATGAATTTATCTCTTGTAATGAGTTCGCTTTTCTTCCAAACAAATCTCTCATTAGATCTGTTTAGTAATACTATATGTAAATATGAAAGGAAATCTGTTTAACTTACTAACATCGTTATCCAAAGAAGCAGATCTGTGCTTTACAGGGATATTCTCTTTTGATTTGAATAAAATATGAGAACGTTTTAATTGTTCGTAAACTGTAAAATAAACAGTTGTTTGTGGCACCACTGACATAAGACATGGTCCAAGTCCTCGCCATAAGCCAAGTAAACCTTCTTCATGAATAAGATGACGTATACCATATAAGAAGCCCGAATAAATCTTCATTTCAAAACACAAAATAAATTCATGTAAACATTGGTCCCTTATTTTATAGCAATAATAATTTACTAATTAACTTCAATGTATATGTTCACATTCATGCAACAGTCATAAAATTGTCTCTACTTGTTAACTCTGAGAAAGAAATATAAATGGTCTGTCGAATAAATGTCTGCACTGAAGTCATACAAACTTTGACCAATAAAATTTGGGTTAAATTTATTTTATTCCTTTCAAAATATTTTCATCTGTTCAATACATCCATACAAGTCTACCGAAATCAGACTCTTCAGATGTCTTATCATTTTACGTCTCGCTAGAATAATGTGAATCTAAGTGACTGGCAATCGTTCAAACATTGATTTAGCCACTGGACACAACATAAGAGGTCAAAGACGACCATCATGACCTCACCTCATACCCACAGTCTTCACGACCTTCACAGAAACCTTTCATCTATCTAAAAATAACTGTTATCTTCAACAGATTACACCTGTATAAATGACATGGAAACCCTTAGTTGTTGTGACTTACAGTTCGTCTGTATTTCAATTACGACTTAACTTTGTTAAACACCTTAATTTGGATTTTATTTGCTTTATGAAAACAATGAAATTATTCCCCAGATTAGGTTTAGTGAACTCAAGGTCTAAAATACTCGTTTAAACAGTTGAAGGCATTAGGTTCAGTTTGGTAAGAAGTTTAAATATCCCCATTTATTTACTACTAGTGTTGTGAATGAGAACACAGGTGAGGACAACCAACTATGTATTTAGCACAATTTACAACGTTACTTGGTAAAATACAAAAACCATGCTATGATACACTATTTGCAAAATGTTCTTCAATTGCCTCAGACTTCATTGTTCCTGGATTTCCACACAAATTGCTTTCTATTTCTGTTCTTCTCTTCTTGATCTTCTCAATCTTCTGCTGTCAGATATTCTATTCCTTACTCACCATATATACTACTTATGTCGATATCAGTAGCTCACACCACACTCGTCCCCCCTTTTAATAAGCTGTTCTTGCAATCTTTCTGATCGCCGTACCATTGTCTCCTTTGGTGCTGTTCGTGACTCGTGCTCATGATGTTCCTGAAACCATCTCTGTAGTTGACTGGCATTTACACGCTTCTGCTTGTCTTCTCTCCGGATCGTGTAAACTGGGCCGCGTCTCTCCGTGATAATGTACGGTCCCTCCCATTTCGGGATCAGCTTTCCTGACCCTGGTCCCCCTTCAGTGTTAGCTCTCCGTTCTCTACACTTTACCAGGTCCCCCACTCTAAAAGGCTTCCATGCTCTTCTCTGCTGTTCCGCCTTCCTGGTGTCTGATATTTGTTTCTTTTTCACGTTCTTTATTGCCTCCGTCCTCTCCTTCCTTAATCTTGTTGCCGTCCACTTCTGCTGCTGTGGCCACGTCTTATTATGCATCGGAAGTCGCGGCTGTCTACCATACATAAGTAGGAAAGGTGATTTCTTAGTTGTTCCTTGGATGGAGGCACGATGCGCCAGCAAAATAAGTGGTAACTCTTTCTCCCAATTCCCTCCTTTAGATGCTAACCATTCCTTTAATGTCCGGTTGTTTCTTTCCGTAAACCCATTCGTCTGAGGGTGATACGGTGTAGTTCGTATCCTCTTGATACCGAACTGCTTCAAACGGGCCTTAAACTCGTCACTTTCAAAGCAGGGACCCTGGTCGGTTAGTATCATCTTCGGTACTCCATGACCTGCTACAATATGCCGGATTATTACTTCGGTCACTGTTTTCGCCCGCTGGTCGGCAATCGGTACAGCGTCGACCCATCGTGTAGCATGTTCCGTCATTACTAGTAAGTATCGGTTGCCGCTATCCGTCTGTGGAAATGGTCCCATCACATCTACCGACCACAGATCACCAACTGCGGTTACTGGGACCGACTGCAATGGCGGTTGCATGTATCTATCGCTTTTCATTAATTGGCACTGCTGGCACGTCAACACATATTGGGCCACATCGTCTCTCATGCCTGGCCAGTATGCACTTTGCCGTAGTAAATCTGTCGTTCTTGCGATACCTGTGTGCGCTACCTGATGGCATTCGTGTATCATCTTACGCCGCCAGTCTTTCGGGATCACAGCCACCCAATTTTTGTCATCATCCTGCCAGACCAGAGCTCCATATGTGTTCACTTTCAGTCTTTCCTTTTGCCGAAGCAACATTATTGCCTCCTTGTCCATTGCTCGTTTGTCAAAATCTGCCCCCTCTCTTATCACTCTGATTACCTCTCGAAGTTTAGGATCAGATTTCTGTTGCCGGACGAGTTCTAGTGGGTCTTCCTCTATACTGTTCACTGCGTATGCTGTCAATGGAAGCTCGGCTTCCATGTCTGTTCTTGACAGATAGTCCGCCATTACATTTTCCTTCCCTGGAACATGCCCGATACTGAAGTCATACTCCTGCAGACGTATCATCCATCGCGCCAACTTCCCACGTGGGTCTCATGCTGTTTGTAGCCACTGCAGAGGTTTATGGTCAGTCTCGATGTGAAATCGTCTACCTAACAGATATGGTCTCCACTTGTCTACTGCCCACACAATCGCTAAACACTCCTTTTCGATCGTTGAATACTTCTGTTCCGCAGGCGTGAGAACGCGACTTGCGTATTCCACTACTCTATTAGACTGACTTAAAACGGCACCTATACCATGGTCACTTGCGTCTGTTGTCACTGTAAACGGTTTCTCCAGTTCGGGCAGTCTGAGCGTCATCTGGCGGTCGTCCAACATGTTTTTGATTTGATTGAACGTTTGTTAGGCGGTTTCAGTCCACGAAAATTTAGTGTTACTCAACAACTTATAAAGGGGTGCTGCTATTTCGTTGAAATTCTTGATGAACCGACTGTAGAACGCCGCCCTTCCCAGGAACTGTCTCAATTTCCTTTTCGAATTCGGTACTGCAACGTTCTTTATAGTCAGAATTTTCTCCGGCAATGGTTTTATTTCTCCATTTCCCACTTTATGCCCCAACAACGTGATGCTACTTTTCGCCATCTGTGACTTGTCCTTATTAATTCGAAGTCCGAATTCTTCAATTCGCTTTAGGACCGCTTCCACATGCTTGACATGATCTGTTTCTGTCTGGCTGTATACGACTACATCGTCGCCATACACTTCGACGTTATCTAGATCCCTGAGCAGTAGCGACATTAATCTTCTGAACGTAAATGGTGCGCCCGCCAATCCGAACGGCATTCGTCTAAATTGATACTGTTTATCACGTATGGTAAATGCTGTCTTGCTTCGATCGCTCTCTTTTATAGGCAGCTGCCAATAACCTGACCGCAAATCCAACACTGTAAACACCGTGGCATTCTGCAGCCGATCTAATGTTTCCACTACTGTTGGCATTGCACACGGCTTTAGTTCTGTTATATTATTCAGTTCTCTAAAATCAACACAAAATCTATATTTCCCATTCGGTTTCTTTACCAAGAGTACCGGTGAGCTATACGGGCTGTCCGCCTCCTCAATTATTCCTTCTTTCAGCATCTCTTGGACCTGTCGATTTACTTCAGCCTCTAAGTGCACAGGGACACGACGTGTTGTGAATATACTTCCTCCATTGTTCTTTATCGGGATTTCGTGCTTTACTTTGTCGCAAAATCCGTACGGTTCTCCTTCTCCAGTAAACAGTTTCGCATACTTTTTGCACAACTCGGTGATGTTTGGTTTCTTCGTCACAACGGCTGTTGCCACTCTAACCTCAGCCACCTCGCTACTTTCATGTATTGAGAATGAACCGTACTTCGTGACCACCTTACCGCTTCTTAGGTCAACTATGGCTTTTACTTCTCTTAGGAAATCTGCTCCTAATATTGGTCTCGACAGGTTTGCGGTTACCACGAACGGAAAACTTATCTCCGAACCATCCACTTTTACGATACTGTTAGCCACGCCCAATACCTCTAACATATGCCCTCCTATAGTGTGAACTGCGACTTTACACGGCTTAAAACTTTTACATTGCTCTTTACCTATTAACGAAACTGCTGCCCCTGTATCGATTAGGCACACTAAATCTAGTTCATTTACGTTCACTCTTGCATAGACTGCCCCTCTATCTACTAATGCAACAACCCCCAGATCCCTAGAGTAAGAAGGAAACACGTAACGTCTAAAATATCTCCGTTTTCGTCGTGTTGGACAGTTTATCTTCCAGTGTCCTGTCCCTCCACATGCGAAACACTTATCATTCCTTTTACGAATCACTTGTAATGCCGCAATCTCGTGCTGCAGTTTTTCGATCTTCTTCTCAATGCTGCTTATCTCCTGACTTCCGCACGTGACCGGAGCTACTGTTTGTGTCATCAACTGTCGCGTCACCTTTGCAAGCTCACTGATATCCATAGGTTGCGCGGCGTGTACCAATCTCAGCTGCTGGGAAACGGCAACAGGCACGCTCTCGATAAACTGAGACGCCAACAACTGTGCCTCCGACTCCTCATCTAGATTTGGCAGTGCGCGACGCAGCAACTTGGTAAGCTCCACGGCCAGCACCAGCGGATCACCATCGATCGGCAACTTCGCCACTCGGAACTTCTGCAGTGCTTCCTCTCTGTCCACTGGGCTATCGAACTCCACGGCCAACCGCTCCGTGACTGCCTCCCATGTCGTCTTACCGCCCGCGCCGTCCAGGCTGTCATATACAGCTTTCGCTCTGCCTCTCAGCAGCGTCCCCAGCACCACCGTCTTCGCCTTCGGCTCCTTCACCCCCACCAGCTCCGCCACAGCTTCGAACTCCTTCAGGAAGCTCAGCACATCTCCGTCCTCGAATTCCTTCGGCCATGGAATCTTCATCCTTGGAGGCAGCGACACCAAATGTTGTGAATGAGAACACAGGTGAGGACAACCAACTATGTATTTAGCACAATTTACAACGTTACTTGGTAAAATACAAAAACCATGCTATGATACACTATTTGCAAAATGTTCTTCAATTGCCTCAGACTTCATTGTTCCTGGATTTCCACACAAATTGCTTTCTATTTCTGTTCTTCTCTTCTTGATCTTCTCAATCTTCTGCTGTCAGATATTCTATTCCTTACTCACCATATATACTACTTATGTCGATATCAGTAGCTCACACCACACTAGTATTCATGTAACTAGTATTGTAAAGAATAAATTCTTTTTCCAATACATTTATATTACTGAAGTACAACGTACAGTTATCATTTATATGTAGTTCATATCAACCAAATAAAAGGATGGGAATAGCCTCGAAAAAAAGTTAAAGGCTCAAATCACTGACTCGCATATATTTATGCCAACATTTTACGGCTTCATCATATCTTAATTTTTATAAGGTATGATAATAAGAATACAAATAATCAGCTATCTATAAGTTTATACACTAATGTATGGGTTACAGTTATTGTATGAACTAACTATTCTATCTTATTACTCAAAAACCGCTAGATAGGAGGACTACAGTCACACTTAAAATGAGTATAAAGTTGATCCACTATTCTAAAAGTATTTGTCTGAAACATCCATACTCATGTAATGGCTTGCTTTACTGTGGCATTTTGTTCAGATAAACAACTTTAACAAATTGACTAGTAAAACACTGGGCTTGAGAAAAACAAGCTTCAAACACGCTGTTTTCACTTGATTTGGCTAAGGCAGCTATGTATTATCACCAATCCACATATAATATGGGTTAAAATCCAGTACATAAATCTATACGTAGTAAATAAGTTACGTTACTGTTATTTATCTCAACCACAAAAAAACAAGCACACATATCAACTTCCAATCCTTATAAACAAAATTGTAAAGCACATAGTCAGTAATTCGTTTTAGAAAACCTTTAAATGGTTACCTGATTTTTACCTTGAGCTATAAGTCGTGTCCTCATTACATCTAATGGTTCACTTAGTGTAGACGCAATCAGACCAGTTACACTACCGGCTATCATATCATGTACCCATCCAGATGATGAGCTAAGATTTATTCGGTTGACTAGTAAATTTTCAATGGCATAAAAACTCCCAAACTAAAATGCAAAATTATTCGCAAAAAAGAGATTACATAATTATTTTCAAGTAATACAAAGACTGTGGTAGGGTTGATGAAAGAAACATGGATTATTGCTGCACTAAAACACATAATTCTCGACTTAATAGTACATTACTAGTAGTTTAACTGCCTTACTACTGCCGTAATTTGATATGTTGCACCTGATCATTAACCACACTTTGGTTCTTTTTTCACGTATAGAGTTATATGTCCATTTGTGTTGTGTAAATGAAAAGCCTATCTGTCTGCGTTTCATCACATTAGCTATTCCCACGAATATTCTGAATTAGACAGTGTCGAATAAAGTTCACTAATAACAAAGAAGTGGCAATTCTTGCAAGAAACTAATCGAAATGTGAACAACATAATCTCTGATGCTCTTACAGGTACGAGAGTGGATGTCGATCCCCGAATGCTTACACTGTGGAGGAATATTTCTTCTTGAAGCACATGAAAAGGAAACTGGGTTAGTGGTAGTCTTAGTGACCTGGGAGCGTAATCACAGGTTTTGGGGGGCAATAGCTTGAAGCTCGTCAAACATTTATTTTCATGAGAAGTTTGAGATTAATTAGCTCCGTAGCTTAAAACCCTTACTTCTGAAGATGAAAATCGATGGGTTAAGGTGAGGTAATAATTTTGGGCTCGATCTTTTCTAACCCCTTCTTTCCTTTGTGATAAGAAAGCATAGCTGAAAGTGCTGGTTGTCTGAAACGATTACTTTACTGCTATCACACTCTTCTTCTCCGTCTTCAAACATTAAGTTCCTGCTACTATCCTTAATGTTCTCCAATCGACCTACCTGACATAGGAATAAGTGTTCCAGTCAGTCAGCTACAACGTAGGACCAGATACACATATGCATCGTTCCAAGTTGCCATACCTCATTACCACAAAAATATGAACACCGGATTCATAGAAATAGTTAATTTAGTGGTGGTAATATATAAAAGAAAGATTGTATATAAGGATATAGTACAGGAAGGAAGACAGATATGAAGCAATTTTAACCTCATAGTTTAAGGAAAGACAGAGAGTGTACACGCATACGCCATTGTGATCGATTGTGAGCCATGTCACCCACAGTCTCCAACTATTGGTTACGATAGTCACGCAGACCTCAACCAAGTAGTCTGCATCTACCAACATGGCTCGGACTAGAGGTTAGTGACTTCAAGCACTGATGCCACGTTTTGGTTTGGCCGCCCCCAACTCTCTCTCCCAACTATCCCCAATACTAGTCAGCATTGCGCATTGTGGTAATCGGTGTTCAGACATACGTAACACGTGGCCCAACCATCTCAGTAGATGAACATTCACAACCTCATCAACTGATTTACCATCATTCCCTAATACCCTCTGTTTAACCTCACTATTACTTACCCGGTGGTCCCAGCGGATGCGAGCAATATTTCTAAGACAGCTGTGATCGAATACTGGTAACTTAAGAGTATCTTCTACCCTTAATGGTCACATTTTGCAGTCGTAAAGTAGAACAGAGCAAACTACTGAGCAGTATACTCATCCCTTATTTGATAGACGGATATCTCGTCTTCGCCATAGGTGAAGTAAGTTGACAAAAGCCAAACGAGCTTTCTGAATCCATGAAGAAATTTCGTCAGACATCAACCCATTAGGGCTGACCAGACTTCCAAGATAAGTGAAGTTTTCGAAGCGTCCGACTACTTTACTCCCTATCCTCGGTTTAGGTGTTGACGCAGACCAGTCCTGGACAAACAATTTAAATTTAGAGGGGTAGAAACGCATTCCAAACTTCCTTGCATTGTTACTCAGTGCTATCAAAAGACTCTGCATTTTGTCAGCGTCTTCACCAAACAGTGTTCCAGCCAATATAGCTAGGTTGAGTTATTAAGATAAGTAATCCCGACCACCACATCAATGTGACAACTACGAATTGGGCAGAGAAATAATCCCTAAGCAACAAACAAGAGGTGATTATCGAACATCAGCATCCTGGTTTCATGAATTTCATTCACCAGAAATAATGGAAAGTTAAATTTTGAGCATGGTCAAATACAGTAATACATTTATACAAAGAAACCTTGAGTAGTGAAGAAGGTAAGCTTTTTTAATACAAACCTTTATTCTAAGTAGCATAAAAAAGTGTCGAGGTTATGATAGCCCGAAGGACCAACTACATTGTGCAGAGATTCATCAAAAAATAACCATTTTTTAGCTTAGCAGTCAGAAGCCGATGCACCGCTATCAACTTGCCACAATATTTACTTTATTTGGATTGTAGACAACAGTGAAATTGAGGACATGCATTTCGTCTAAGTTGAAACTAGCCAATTGAACGTACTTGTTTCGCAATGATAATGTCCACAGTGAGACTCGAACACAGTACTTATAGATTTAAGGGTCAACATGTTATTTCAGATAGCCACTAATTCGGAAGAACCACAAATTATTCTGAAAGCTGTATCGGAGCATCTGTTCAAGGTGCACACATGCAGCAATCAACCGAATGCAATCGTGAACATAAAAAGCACAGGAAAATACAAACCCTTACAGGTAGAAAATATTGATCTCAAGAATTTGCAGAAGATCATCTACATCAGTAGAGTTGAAAATGAACGGTTTAGTTGACAGAAATAAATGGAGTAACATGTCAAGTAAGCGTGTATTATTGACCAAAGAGAAGAACTAAATGAACATTTTTAGGTGAATCTGTACACTTAGGTATCAACCACAAAAAAATGCACCTCAATTGAACCAAGAATGGTAGATACAGTTTGATTATTAGTATTAATAAAAACGACTTTTTATATAACAATGAATATGTACCACTAGCTACTACTGTCTTGTAGTTGAAATATTAGTCATCTTACATCCCATTAAAATCTAATACCTACAACAATCGATAACTGCCAACATTAACATTCATCTACGAATCTACTTAAATTTCATGTACAGTATTCAGAAAGACAAAAAGATACTATTAATTTCATACCATCACTTACTTGTGCTCCACAAAATGTAACAGAAAGAAATTGTGCTGGCACATGACCCTTCCACAGACCATATACACCTTCTTCTTTGTAAATACGGATAAATGCCTGTAGTAGGCCAGTGTAATATGATTTTCCTGAGGGCTTAATATCTTCAACTTGTAACTGAATTATAGTTGTTTTTAACAGAGGAATAGGATTAAAAAACTCACTTGAAAGCGAATTTTTATAACATCTAATGGTTGAGTAAGGAAACGGACAGTAAAACCGGACAAGCTTCCAGCAATCAAATTTTTTGTATCATTTTTCATACTCTAAAAATACAACTAGATATTAAGCAAATATTTGTACAAATCTAGCTTATAATTGGATGACAAATTATTATAATTTAATGAACTAAGACATACTGAAAGATGAACAGACATAACATAATATAAGCACGAAATTTGCTGTTAGATTAGATAGTCTATAATGAAAAGTGTAATATAAATATTGGTTTGAACATCCGACTTTGAGATGGTGAAGATTTGTAGCTCAGTTGGATGATTTTGGTGGCTCTCAACAACATGATACCAGGTTCAAGCCTAGCCTTATTTTAGTTTTGAGTAGACAGGTATTATTATCATTCACTACACGCACAATTACGTAGCTCAAAGCGGAAGCGATAGATTTGTACCAGATAAGCAACTAACCCTTAACTTACGTTTTATGAAAGATAAATCATTGTTACAACTATCAACTTTGGTCTTTGGCATTTTAATTCACAACAGATTACATCAAGTGTTTTGCTTTTATAAAAATTAAGGTGGTGAAGTACTACTTCAAGTAGACTATGTGAATGAACCAATCAGACCTAAAACAAAGGATGGTGAGTTTTAGCGCGAGGTCTAAAACTACATGACATATAGTTTGTAGCTTATTAACAGTTACATAAGAACTAAGACTTGAATGCATAAACTTGAAAAACAGTATAAAATTAAAGAGTAGGAACAAACTTGAGTGACTCAGTCTTCAGCGGTAAGGACAGGAGGTCAAGCGACCTGTGTTAATCCTCATGATTTGCAGTAATATGAAGATCTAACCTGGATTTAAATGTATCAATAGAAGGTGCTGATGATGTGTTCTGTCAGAGAACTTCAGTAACTCACGACTCTACGTAAAAAACTTCAGATGTAGACTATTTGATCTCGGTTTTTGAAATTTATAATGATGTCCTCTCAAAAGATCACTCTTGATTGAAGAATAAAGCACTAGAATCAAAATTATCGTTAAGTATACAGTCAACTACTGATATATAACCTCATAATGGACAATTAGATAGAGGCGCCTCAGTCTGTCTTCATAAGGAAGGTCAGAGAGACCTTTCAGCACTTCAGTCCCTCGTTATTGAATCCATCCTACCATATACGTTTTATATTGAAATGAATACTCGTTCAAAAGTTATTTCTAGCTGTGACTTACAAATCTTCAGAATTATAAACCTTAAGTAATCCCATTCCATTTATTGCGTTATGTACATTTTCGTAATGACCAGTTTACATTACTACACTCCCGCTAGAATTTATTTCTACTGATCACCAATGCATCCGCTCAACTGAATTTAAAGTCTCCTGCAATCCTATTTTGTTAGCCGTAATTTGTATGGATAACCAGACTTTAATTTCATCGTCAAAAAAATAATAGATGTAGGGATCAATGCCAAGGTTGGACTTGATAGTTTCAAATAAGTTGAGCACTAAGTGGAAAGTTAATAATAAATTTATTTTCTGTTATGTACCAATGAGTAGAGAAATTGTATTTCTGACGTTTCATGACTTAATGTAAGCCATTTCTTCAAAGTAAATAAGTAACTGAATTTATTCCGGTTATTTATTAACTTTGTAGAAGTACATTACATTAAGTCATGAAACGTCAGAAATACGAACTTTCTACTCATTGGTCTGTAAAAAAATATTTACCATTAGCAGGTGTCTGTAAGACTGGGTAGACCATTTGCGCAAGGTAAAAAACGGAGGAGAAAGGATTATTCCTTGAGGGACTTTACTCTTGACAGATCCCCATTACAAAAAAACCATTATCTACTCTTGTTCGTACCCCGATATCATTGAGGAAACTAATTATTCACTTTAGCTATAATTAATTCCAAAATTTTCCAGTTCTAACTTAAAACCTAGGTGAGAGACTTTACCGAGCTTGTATTAAGTGACCAGCCTGTTGCTGCAACATAATCCTTCATGGCCGAAGTATTTGTTCTCCATAAATTTGAGGGAAATCGAACGTCTGAGATAATTGTCACAAGCTCTGAACTTGGATAACAAAACATTGTGATCACTATTAGCCTACGGTGTGGGAATATTTAAACAAGTAATATTCTAGGTTTCACGAGTTATCACTAAACCCAATAAAGACACGTGGTTTAAACCACAAAATGTTGGCTAATATACACGCTGTTTTGGAGCATCATTAATTACAATCGTAAGGAGCTTACTAGCGAATGTACTACCGGATACTACGGTGGACATCAGTTCGCAGTTTGTGTCAAGTGCACTGAAATCTCCTAATACTAGGCACTTATCACTTTCGCGCTATGATTTACTGTGGTCTAAAATGAAGTTTATAAACACACATATATAACATTGATGAGTTGATTAATCTATTCGAAGAAGAAACATTAAAAAACAAATTCATTAGGGATGATAATATCTTCAATTCCAATGGTAAAAGCTTTCTAATTTGTCACTTTCATTATTATCGTAGTCATTGCAGTTGTAAATCCTAATCATTAATCCCAAGTCAATTTGTTAATCATATATGAGTAAGGTTATAACCTTACTGCCTAACCTTATTTCCTAGCCCCATAAGGCTAGGCATTTCTTCTAATATAAGCCACATCAAATAGAAAAAAAACGTTTCGTACTTATTTGCATTTTATCCCCCATTATCTCCCTTTATTTTGCTATTACTACTCTTGCAAGTCTATCTTGATATTACGCAACTAATGATTCTAACCCTTTCCCATTTTTCATGAGAGATAATTTAGCACAAAGATTTGCTAGCAATGTCTAAACTATTTATCCTGTGTGATTCGACTTCTTCCTTATTATATAAATCCTCTTATGACACCAGTTACTTGGCTTTTTAACCGGTCAAGGTCGCCGGGATGCTTTACTTTTACCGCCCTGACAAATGGTTCAAATGGTTGAGGACGGAATAGAAGAAGCTTTCGCTCAACGGGCTTCCGTGTCTATTAGCAGTGGATCACCAATACCTCCAGTCAAGAACCTGGGTATATTAACGATAATAGAGGAAAAAAAGAATTTGGTAAATCATAATAATATGTTATCCTTAGTCCGTAAGAATAAGTCAAGTCTCCTCTTAAAGGATTCCTGGGAAGTCGCTTGGACTAGCTCTTAAGGAGTAAAAGTTGTATCTGCAGTTTGTTCTGCTATGTTGGGTCTCCAATTTCTGGGTGTTACCTCTTAGGTTAGCGTTGTGATTAAGCTTAAGAAGATGTTTAAGGTGATGACCAGAAGTATTAAGGATACTTTAAGTTTTAAGAAAGTCACCTCTAAGACGCTTGTACTGTGATGGGTAAAGGTTAAGTGATTGGAGGCGCTCTTCATAAGATTTGAATCTGAGTCCCCGAACTAATTTCGTGGCTCGACGTTGGATACGTTCCAGAGTGTCCTTATCCTTTTGGAGGGAGGGAGGAAATACTATGTTTCCGTACTCTAAATGGGGACGAATAAAACTGTTGAAGATTATATGAAAGGTTCTACCATCAAACTGGCCAAAAATGCGCTTCAATGTTACCAGTGCAAGGTTTGCTTGAGAGGCGTTTTTGTCACAGTTCGCATACCATTTCAGGTCATAGGGTACCAACACTAATAAATCTTTTTCGACTTGGGAAACTTCTAGAGGGGAGCTACCTAAGTTGTTGAAGGTAAGGCCGTTGTCGTCTGCCCAACTTTGAAGTCGGGTCAGATCCTCCTGAAGTACTAGTATATCCTTTTGGTTACGTATCTCTCTCCAAAATTTCACATCATCAGCAAAAAGCAATAAGCCAGGTGAAACTTGTTGAGGAAAATCGTTAATGTAAATCAAGAAGAGAAGAGGTTCTAATATTGAGTCCTGAGGGACCCCACTAGGACATTCCATAGCCTGAAAGAGAGAGTGAAGTTAACCCTGACCTTAAAGTGTCCGTTTTCTAGATATGAAGCGAGCCAGTCAATTAGAAGTGGTTTGATATCCAATCGTTTGGGCTTTTTGATAAAACAGATATGGTTGACCCTATCAAAAGCTTTTGGGAAATCCAGGTAAATAACATCAACCTTCCCCTTGTTGTTATCAGTGCCTTTTGCGGCTTAGCAAACTACGAGTGCGGTTCTTGATGATTGGAGGTTTTTTGTAGCTTTTTGGGACCATTTGAGGAACTGAATGCTCAGTAGCACATATGATCGTGTGCAGTAAGAAATCCCAATGAGCATCCACTTCAAGCTGAGGGTGAACGTCTCAATCCACCTGTTGTAGATAGTCCTGTAAAGCTGACACATTCAACTGTTTGAAATTCCAGCGCCTGTTTTTGGTAGGATATCTTAGCTCAGTTTTGCTGACAAAACTGAAGGATAGGACGGCGTAATCACTTTTCCCCAGGGAGCCAGGATTGAGAGGTCGTCGACTAGGAATTCTACAATTGTGAATAAGCGCGACGGCATCTGACTGTTTCTCCAAATAGTTGCCAACTTCACATTTTTGAATAATCCCAGGTCATCGATGAGGTTGAAGAACAGAGCTTCAGTAGAGTTTTCACCTCCAATGTATGCATGTTCCACGAAGTTGATTCTGAGAAGATTGAAGTCTCCTAGGATCAGGATATGAGAGAATCCGAGAGGCGTAGAGCGGGTTAATCCTTCCAGAAAACGATTGTCATACTCGATGTCAGCAGTGGGCTTCCTGTAGATGACCCCAACTAGACACCTCGAGGCGGTAGACAATCTTACTGGGCACCATACTGACTCATCAAGATTGAGAAACTCTTGGTTGTGAAGTTGGTGAGCATCCAGGCATGACCGTATGTATAATGCTACCCCACCCCCCATTCCAATTTTCCTGTCGTTGCGGAATAAAGACATTCCAGTTATTGCTAACTTCTGGTCCGTAAACTGAGACGTTATCCAAGTTTCGGATATTCCTATCGGATGAGCATCATTAGCGTTGCTAAGTTCACGTAGCTCATCCATGTTGTTTGGCAAGCTCGCGGCGTTCGTGTATAAGCAGTTTATGCTTTTAATTTGGAACGCGTGAGCTTCTTCTTGTGTGTCTATATGAGCCTTGCGTGAGTGGACAGGTAGCCTACCTATACAATGTTAACCAAGTTGGTAGTCCCTGTCCTTTACACGTTTTTTTTATGATCAAGACAGTCCACGAGTGAAATTGTCAGCTCTAGCTTGCTGTCGTGTGGCCTATCCGGATGCATATGGATGCCAGTTAACAACCGACGTCTATTGGCACGAAATGCTTCCAGAGTTGCAGCCGCCAAATGAGAGGAGGGGAAGGTTATCTTCAATAGCCAAGGCCTAGAGTCTCCGTCTCTCTTGGCTAGTCGCATTACCTGTTGGGTCAATATGTTCTTAAGTTTTAAGAAATGCTTAATGAATTTCCATTCCCGAATATGAGAGTTTGCTTCAGTTGGGTCCATATTTTCCGGTATACCTTGAACAATGATATTTCATCCGCGGATAAACGCCTCGCGAGATTCCTTGTGGATGTTCCGGATGAGATTGCGTTCAGAATACGGTATTTCGGGCAGTATTCTTATTCTCTACATACATCAAAAACCTTCGCACTCACCCTCAGCAGAACATCTTGCACAAGAACAACAAAATATATGACTATGAAATCCGCACTCTAGGTGGGTCTCAATCAAAATAGTGGATTTGCCATGAAACCATTAAGTGCTTCACTCACCTTGGCCACTGAAAATGGAAAAGAACTGATGTTGACTGCGAGAAAAACTCACTGATTTCTTTTAATGTCCAACAGGAAGAGTAGTCTGATGAAAAGTAGATCAGCTTTTGATAAACAGGAATGCAATAAATCCTACATCCTACTTGACAAAGGTAGTACCAAAGCCAAACTGTCTAGCTTTTAAAGAAATCGAATTACATTGAAAATTAGACTATCTACACTTAAATTGACTTTGCAGCCCAGCGATTAAATGGTCCCCGAGTATTAATGTTACATTTAAAAAGCCTTGGTTAATAAGAAGAGAAATTAGGAAGGAAACCTCAACTGAAGTGGGTGTACAGCGAAATTCAGGAATCGAGGGGATCTTGTTGAAGTCCTCCGATTTTCGTGTGACGTGATGAATGACGTACATTGGGACATCTGGAGTGGTAAAAGCAAATCGAAATCAGTAAGACAAGAGCGGTGCAACCAAAGATCTACGTTTCAGTGCCAGTTGTGATGTGGCACGAAAAGCCCAGCCACAAAAAGTAAACTCATCACACAAAGAAAACATGCATGTTTGCCAGCGTCCATAGAAATGAGTGACCTGCTCTATAATGTAGTCTGTTTAAGACCCTTTAAACAGATGCTGTAATAAAAGAGCACTCTCCCCTGACATCACCGGTGAGGACGTGAGCATACAACCCATGATACTTTTCACGAATGATAGGGAGCACAACATTAGCCCGCTGCAACCTCGAGGGAACGAAGTCGAATTATCTAATAGTGAGTAACTTACAGGGGTTCAGCCAGTGTTACTTGAAAAACGAACGATGCGATGCATTAGCTCCAAGGAATTTATCATTCTTTCACGAGAGATAACCAAAAATAAAAACAGATATTCCAGATGCCGTCGCTAATGTTACAATGGCGATTCGATAGGTTGCTCGTAGCAGGTGGTGTTAACAATCTATACGCAAACCTTAAACAGGATGAGGCTCAACAAACATCCAAAAGCCACTATCAAAATTTCAGGGCCAATCGGACATACATTTAGTGTCACAAGGTGTGGGAAGGACGGGAAACCATCCTAATCAGCTATCAACTAACCTTCTTTTAGTCGAAAACGAAAAAAGCCTGAATAAAATTAAGCTTTGAACAGGCGCTAAGTCCAATCGAAAGGCTCTTAAAATGACCTGTATAACAAAATTCAGAAGGATTTCCATCATATGATAAAGGGTTGACAGAAAATCCTTCAAACAAACTTGGTTGAGAAACAACTGTCGAACACAAGGCACATGTATCATGTTTCAAAATCAAAATAGAGGTCAGTGAATTTTCGTCGCTGAGAAAACTCGAGGTGAGACCGTCTATTATTTCAAGGCTGTCGAAATCCTCAGTTCGGACCTTCGTGGACAAAACAATCGTTCACAGTGCCATATAGGTCAGATAAATGTTCTGTTAACAATAGTGAAGATCAGTATGAAGGCAGCATCAGAGCTGATACGTCTGTCCAGCTAGCCGCCGAGATACAGTAGCTTGCTCCTCATAGTACCAGGACAATGCTATTATCTAGTGCGTGACCTGTTGCAACAACCCTTAGAATGCGAGTGGTTAACTAGTAAGTGGACATCAGAAATCCTGTCCCTTGTCTTCAGGGATAAACACAGAAAGAGTCCAGATTTTTATACGTCTTCAGCGCCACTTCCAGAACTCTCGAGACTGTTATAAAACTTATTATGCGACCAAATGTGAGAGTCTACAAACTTTCATTAACTATTTTACTACATGCAACACGAATTCAGGAAAACCACCCTAAACGCCTTATTAACGTGGGAAAGCTGGATAGACCACCGGTATCAGAAAGTCCCTGTACATGCAATGTTATGGAACATTGTTAAAGCGTTTGATACTGTGCTGATCTATCCTCTCTTGGCTAAAACCAAGTAAATACGACTCGCGGACCTACCATTTTCTTGATTAAGAAACCACTCATATACTCGAAAATTCTGCAGTAAGGTTGAGACAGTGAAGTCAAGTTCCATTGTTTATGTCCAGGGTTCCACAAGACGCTATATTAGGCTCTTTGCTGTCACTGATATTTCCCAACTGTTCCTAATTCCCACATGCGCAGACGATATCAAACTGTGTGAGGCTAATTGACCTACGTTTTAGAATGGTCTAACATGGCTGATAAAGTAAACACTAGAATAGTATGACATCCAATCTCCAGAAATGTCAGATGTTTCGATTTCAAACAACAGAGGAAACCAAGATCAACTACATCTGCGGTTGCCTCAACTCCAGAATTTCAAACGGCATGATATGGTGAGCCAATTAGAAGTGGTCAAGTGGGAAGATCAGCAACCAGCTGTGACCTGAAGGACAGTGCATATCACTGGCTAAAAACTGGATTTATTTCCTAAGGGGTACAGATGTACGTATATAAGTGAATATTTGTTCATATCTTTCGGTAGCCCAATACAATTTTTGGTTTGTGTGTTACACCTATCCTGAAAGGTCTCAACAACCTTTTCGTAGTTTCTGATGTTCCTTTCATGTATGGTAGGATGATCCGTGTGTTGGTTTCTGTACTAGACTTTGTTTCTGATGATGCGTTTGGATGGTATTTTTGGATGAAGTCGATCGGGTTATCATTCCTGTGGAAGATAGTCACCAAGTGCTTTGGTGTGTTCTCGCCCTCTTGAACAGAATTTGTATGCAGTTGATTTTGTGAGTTCTTGGGTTGTTGCTACTGTAATTGAGAATTTGATTTGTATAGATCGGCTTCTTATATACTTGAGTCTCCAGTTTTCTTGTGTTGGTTCTAGTGATTAATACATCCAAGACTGGTAGTTTGTTGTTCGTTTCCTGTTCCATTGCGAACTTCATGTCATTGATGACGTTGTTGGTTAGGTCTTAGGTGTTTTCCAGTTTGTCCTTTTTGGCGATGACGAATGTATCGTCTACATGATGAATCCAATTTTTTTTAGCTTGGTCCTTGATATAATTGTGGCTTCCAATCTCTACACTATTGCTTCTGAGACGAGTCTTGATATTGGTGATCCCACCGGCATTCTTTTCGTTTGTCGGTAGATTTTGTTGTCGAATTGAAAATATGTTGTTAGGCATAAATCGATGAGTTCTAGTAAACTTTGATCTTGAAGCTTCGTGTACTTTGCAAGGTTCATGTCTTTCTTGAGAATCACAATTAGAGTTTCTTCTTCTAAGCTTGGTGTAATTGAGGTGAATAGGACTGTTATATCAAATGCCATCATCAGCTTGTCGTTGTTAATTTAAATGCTTTTATTCTGACCCAGAAATTATATGGGAGTTTTGATGGAATGATTGAATAGACCCACTAAATGTCGTAATATACGTCATATTTCTCTTGAAAGATTGTATGTTTAAGTTCCGAGGAGTGCTATAGTTGGACGTAGTGGGATGTTTGTTTTGTTTATTTTCGGCCTACCGTGAGATCGAGGGAGTACTAGTTCAATGGATTTCATTCTCCATTGATCTTGACTTGATATTTTTCCTGCTTTGACGAGATTGTTTAAAGTCTTTGAGATTCGGTTGTCTAACCTTTCGGCTAGATTTTTGTCTACCGGTTTGTATGCGCTTTCATCCTAAAGTAGTTCCTCGGCTTCCTTGATATATTCTTCTTTATCCGTGTAGCGCGTGCTTTGTCCGCTGGAACTAAGACTATATCTTCTCTATTTCTAAGTTGCTTTAAAGCGTTTCATTCTTGTGACTCTTTTTTCTCCCTAACTTCTACCTTTGGGTATGTGGCCTAACGTCATAGGTTTACCTGACTACACGTTTAACACTTCACAGTTAACCATGGGCCAACACAAGCTGCACTCTTATTGGTCCAGTATCCATTTGCTTTTCCCTCTTCTCTCCCTTAAGCTCAGAGAGGAGTCACCAGACAACCGCTCTATATACATTTCACTCACCCAGTCCAACTAACAAACAAAGCCAACAACTATATCAAACACCTATTAATTTATATGTACGTGGTACCAGGCCAAACAGCATACCGAATAAGGAACCATGCTTTGAACACAACAGTGTGACAGGAGGCAGACAGTGAAGCAAGCATTACCTAACCAATTAATAACAATTGGGAAATAGATGTACGCATAACCACAGTTTACAAATCCTCTGGAAGCTTACAATGAGGAGAACATACAAATACGATAATTAAGTTATTGACTAACTTTACAGTAAAAATCAAAATCATAATAATTTGAAAAATCGTTCAAAAGTCTCAACTTGTCTGCTACTTGTCTTGCTTCAAATGATAGAACTAAGGGACGAATTCTATAACAACCAATTTCGTCACCTAGGACAGTTCCCTCTAATCCATAAGAAAATGAGAAGCCAAGTGTAGTGTGAAACAAACTGGGCATCCAGCCACACAAGTAAAGATTATCTTTTTATTTCTTGAGGCAACTGACGACAAATTTTGTATCAAAGACCCAATGCCCAAGTAGGACCACACTTTGATTCATATGAATCAGCCCAGTCTGGAGTATTCTACAAGCGGACTTGACGACATTCCTTTCATCTGAGAGCGTTAAGAGCAGCCTCAATAACTCCATATCAACCTTCGGCTAACAGCCCTTCCTCTACGTCAGCTATGCATAACGTGTGTCATTCTTCTTCTCATTACTACCACCTGTTGTTGCCTCCGTTTACATGCTATTATTAAACTTTTGTCTGTTCACATTACATGAATAAAGTATTCGTTCACTTATCCTGACCGATATCTTATCTTCTCTCCCTCAAATTCTAGTTTCATGGTTATCCAGATTGCAGCAACCTCATATCCTTCTCAGTAGTGTGATAGCTGCTGATCTTGGCAGACCCTACGCCCTAGAACAAACGCACGCATTTGTACCCAAGAAATATTAACTTGAGATTAACTTTCAAGTCGACTAAGGCTATTGTAACTGAACGATACCGAAGACCTAGAACCATATATTAACACTAGGAAACATGATCGAATATTGTAAAACTAATTGCCAAGATATTGGGTATTTGACGCAATCACATCACTTTTCGGAACTGTTATCACGTCAGTTACAGACGGATGAATAAAATTATTTAAGACCGATTACAGAAATTCATATATTTACTTTATTTGTCATGAAATTAATGTACTAGGCATGAAATTGTTTTTCGATGCTGAATATAACTAATTATGAAGGTCAGTGGAAAAAACAAATTCCTGCTGATGGTTGTTTAATTGTAGTTACTAGACATTTATCTAATAAGATATGATTACAGTCAATGCTTTTAGATACACCCTAATCATTGTAACTTTTCTACTCATTTCCAACTCAACAATGGCTTGGAAGTCGAGCGGTAGCACACATGCAGAACTTATAAACAATCTATTCAGTAAGTAGACTTTCCTCTTAACCCTCCAAACAGGAAATCGAGTAATATCATCTGAAATTGTTAGGAATACAATGCTTTCCGTGGATCGTGGATATTTTGCTAAGTCGAATTCTTACGAAGACCGACCATCGTCTATTGGCTATGCCGCGACTATCAGCGCTCCTCATATGGTAAGATTGATGGTTCAAGTTATATAACCTCATTCTAAATCTAAAAATCTGATAAATAAAGCCTAGGTTACACAGTAGATCCAGTTGGATCTTGAGTAGGACAAGACTGTCGGATTATTATAATTTAAGTAGCTATTCGGTGATGCGTTCTTTTCTTGTCTAAACCCTGTCGATTTATCTGGTAAGAGATAAAACAATAGTCTTCTCCTTCCAACTAGGGTTTCTCATGCGAATGAACGTTTTTACTGTCTTTAAGACCATTACTGATGTAATTGTCAGTATGAATTGGCTTAGCGAATGCTTCGTCTTTAGGATTTGTCGTAATATGAACTCAAGAACTCAGAAAGCTGACTGATTAGTTCTAAAGAGATCTTTATTTGCAAACCACTAAGTAGTGAATCATCTCTGTTTTCAGTTATTCGAATTGGACGGTTGTGATAAGCATGTTTGGTGAAACTTTAATGTATGGACGACCCTCGAGCGATGTTAAAATGATCCAAAAGATATTCACCTGCTTACTAGGGTTGAAAGAAAGTTATAAGTCGATGCGAGGATTTAGGGTTAGAATTTAGAATTGGACGTTAGGGTTTGGAATTAGAATTAATGTTCTCATTACGAATTAACATCAGCCATACTGCCAAACTGCTATTTGAATGAATGAATATTGCGCTAACATCCAAGACTTGACGTCTTAAATCTGATTGGTTCGTCCATAAATTATAGTCTTGCCTCTATTTTGGATAATCAATTCAAGACCGTTTGGTTTTCACTGCATCAATTTGTTAGGAATAGAATCTGTTGGAATTTCAAGCACTGACTAGTGTTGTATGATGCTGATTTGCGGTAAATTGACGTAGTTAAACTTGCATGTACACCATGGAAGTATTTTATGGTATTAACTATGTTCTGCAAATAAGTAATATGGAATGCTTCCAAGCATTTTGAGTACCGATTATTTCGAAGCATCTCTAGGGTTCCTTAGCATTGCTGTTGTGGAAGTTGTTCGAACTTTAAGATCGTGAATTATTTTTGCAAACTGGTTTACGTTAACCGGTTACAGCATGTTTTTTACCTATATTCTGTCGCATTGTAATATAATCTAAGATAACTGCGAAAAATATGATGGGATTTATTCCCTGTAGACCTATGTTGCTGATGGATTCTCATCGATCCAGCAATTTACTCCTGTTTTTTTATTTGGTTTACAGAGCTAAAACAACCTTACAAGTGCTAAGACAGTCCGTTGATATCTGTTAATCCGAATATATGTGTCTGATATCTTGTCATAAAAAATCCGGTGGTTGCAACGTTACACATAATATTACATCCTTTGTCAAAATTATTCATCACCTTAAGGTGTTACTTCTTATTTCTGCGTTGATGGCTTTTATGCTATTGAAGTGTCATAACTTAAATCACTAGACTTTCGTATGAGTTTTAGCCAGCTGGAATATTTCAAATTGGATCATCAGAAAATTATTTCATCCGATTTCTTTATCAGATTGGTATAGCTTTGTTTTACCCTTTGAATTTCATGTAATTCAGGCATACACTAAATCTCCATCATTTTAGGAAACATTAACCCTCAAAATGAGTTGTAGTACGTTAACAGGCAAGACCTGTTTCAAAAACTCCAATAACCATCCGAGTAATTTATGTCCACAACTATCTGATTTTTAAAATGAATGACTTTTAATGGAAAGAGGCTTATTGGTTGAAGCACTTGTCTTCTGACCAGTAAATGGTGAGTTCAAATCCTCCATTCACATTCGGGTAGCAAAATAGTATCACAAGAAATGCAGCGCAAAAGCATTATTGGAATTATACCTGGTTACTAAGTTACATTAAATTAGAAGGTGAAGGGTTGGGATTTGTAAATTAAGTTTATATACATTTTAGACGTTCATTTTCTCGTATTTGAAAATCTCTAAAGTCAGTCTGATAAGTCAGAGGTTATTTTGAAGACTATTAAATTACCTGTAAATCAAAAAGCATCATTACTTCTTCCTTTCCACTAAGTATTTCCCTGATCTCATCCAAACTATTTTCATTCTCCTTCGTTATCATTTTCGCACTCTTCCGTATCGGTCTTTAGTTATCCTGTAAAGCATCCTTATACAGGTTAATTCCCCTGTATCTGACTTCAATAAGTAGTATCACGTTAACTGAATATTTAACGCAGGCTAAATTTCCTAATAGAATTGTGGGTTTACTCGAAATTATTCAAACGCCCGAACACCATTTATAGAGATAGTTTATTGTCAAATGTTGGTAAAATCCGCAATCGTACAAAAAGCAAACACGCAAGGGAACGAGTGAGTGTGTGTGTTAAAAATCCATATGTATTTGTGAGTGTCAACTGGTTGTGGATAAATTATTGATTGTCTTTGTTTACAACCAATGGGAGAATAGATAAAGATTGATGTGCGGACACGCGCTCAATCCAACTCACATCTAATTTTATGTAGTGGATTAAATGTCTAAACTACAGTGAGCAGACAAATAATACAATAGTTGAATGGGTTTACTAAATAGGCTCCCATCCAGAATGTTGATGTGTTTTTTAATAAAAATTTTAATAACATCTATGTTCAAAAATGAGATAAAAAATTGTCTTTAGAATAACTGTACAACACAATGTAATAGGTAAGCGTTAAGTTGAAATGATAGCTTGTATGTGTTAAAACTTTTTATATTATGTATATATACAAATGTATATTTAACATTAACGGATCGTATGAAGTTAAAAAGTAAGCATAATAAAGATCTGTGGGGCCAATAAAGAATAGTTAGTGAAAATAAAGATAATAGTATAGATAAAGGAAGTTTTGTTATAAGAATAATCTCAGGATTTGGTCTAGATAAATATGGTGGTTGCTACGTGCCTATCTGGCCTGTATACTCTTCTTCCTGATGTTGTTGTAGTTTCTGTTGCTGCTGAAATTTGGTGTGAAGTATTGTTTGTTGCAGGTAGTTTGGGGTGGTGCTTGCTCTGCTGCAGATTTAGACAATTTTATTGTCTGTTTTTCGGTGTACTCTAAAAAACACCGGTTTTGCTGTCGGTGACAACAGTGTCATGTTTACCTGCTCCTTCTACTGTGACTGTTTTACCGTCTTTTCGGATGATTTTAAAATGGCCGTCGTAAGGAGTCTGTCCCGGTTGTCGTACTCTATCATTCCTGACGAATACATGTGAGGATTTGTCTAATTCAATGGGTACGAACGACCTCACCTTCTAGGTTCGTGATTCGGACATGATTGATCCCATCTGCTTTTTAAACTGTTGCACGTAGTTGGTTATATCTACTGGGATATCTATTGAACGGTCAAAGAATTCACCAGGCAAACGTAACGTTGTTCCATAAACCAGCTCAACAGCACAACAACCGATGTCTTGCTTCATAGTCGAGCGAATGCCTAATAGTATCAGGAAGCATGACATCCCATTTGTAATCTCCCCCTGTGGCCGTCAAAAAGGCTTTCAACTGTCGGTGAAACCTTTCTATCATTCCGTTAGTAGTCGGGTGATAAGCAGTGGTTCTAATCCTCTTCATACCGAAAGTTGCTGAAACAGTTTGCTTTCAAACTGGGCTCCACGGCCGGTCGTAATTGTTGTTGGAATACCGAAGTTTGCAATCCATTGTTTCACTAATTCCTTCGCCACTGTTAATGCCGATGTGACTTTTAACGGGACGGCTACGGGTCATCTCGTGAATCTATCTATACATGTTAGTATATGCGTATAACCATTAGAAATTGGTAATGGTCCAACGATGTTGATATGAATGGGGTCGAACTTAGTGCCAGCGACTGGAAAAATTTCTGTATGAGATATGATGTGCCTGTATGCTTTCGACTTCTGACATTGAATGCATTCTCATGACGATCTTCGTACATCTTTGTTTATGCTTGGCCATACAAACCTATCTGTGATAAGCTTGACAATGGATTTTATACCTGGATGAGATATGTTTTGCAATTTCTGAAAAATGTTTCGTTTCGTGTCAAAAGGTACAAAGGGGCGAGGTTTACCTGTTGAGATATCACAGGTTAAGGTATCCATGTCGTTTATAGGGAATATTTTTAAATAACAGTTTCGTTTCCGTATACTGTAAAAGTTTTTATGGCTCCATGTCGAGGTTTTGACGTTTTGCCATATCTTGATAGCTTATATGGGATTGGAGAGGTATTAATATTGAATCTCGATAATACATCTGCTGGGTCGTTTTCCTTGCCTTTTATGTAGCATATGTCATCTTCAAACTACGAAATGAATTCTAGTTGGCGAATTTCGCATGGACTATATTTATCATGATTGTGTATCAAGGATTTAGTTAAAGGTCTGTGATCAGTAAATAATGTAAAAGAATCGCCGAATTCCGAACCCCAACGTCCAATTCTAATTCCTAACCCTAAACCCTCGCATCCACTTATAACTTTCTTTTAACCCTAGTAAACAGGTGAATATTTTTAGGATCATTTTAACAGAATATAGGTAAAAAATATGCTGTAACCGGTTAACGTGAACCAGTTTACCAAAATAATTCACGATCTTAAAGTTCGAACAACTTCCACAACAGCAATGCTAAGGAACCCTAGAGATGCTTCGAAATAATCGGTACTCAAAATGCTTGGAAGCATTCCATATTACTTATTTGCAGAACATAGTTAATACCATAAAATACTTCTATGGTGTGCATGCGTTTAACTACGTCAGATATAATGGAAATTAACCTCAACACATATACTTATAAACTATCTGATTACAGTTTGCACTTCATTGACATTGTGAAGATATACCGACCGACAAATAGTAATCAGAGTGATATTGTGTTTGTTCGTGCTGATATAACTGGATCAATCAGGATAACAGACAATAGGTTTCTGTGTTCTCGAGAGTAGCATCCCTAACACTTCTCAAGCAACCTTTTTAGTGATTTATTTGAAGTTCAATGCATCATGATATTTATTTCTAAGCATTAAGAAGTAGGCGTCAAATAAAGATAACTACCTATTTCGCCAAACATTTTGCACCATGATAGAGTGGTATGGTGTTAGGTTAATTCAAATGTTGCTTATATTGGCCGATGATTGTTTGTAGACGTCGAAAAAACTATCTGTTATGTAACGGTCATGCCGTTTGCATAGTTCACTAAAGGGCATTCACTTATTGATTTTAGCACTAACATCTCAACTATTTGGTTAGAAGCTTGGATCCTGTTTCATCTAATAAGGTTTGTTCAATTAGGTAGTACCATTTGTTTGTTAAGTCTCTATTTCTCATAACCTAATGATATATGTACACATGAGTGCTGCTTCGGATTGTTATTTATATACCATCGAACAGATAATGTACTGTCTCTGAGTTTTGATTGAGATCATGAATCGATCAATGTTAGATTAACATGAAAAACCTGGAAGCAATGGACGGCCGTTTTGTCTTAACACGGAACTCTTCAGAAGTACGCATCCACAAACCCGTAGCTTAACCTCTAGGCCACTGAGCCAGCATCCAACGGTGTTAGGGTTTAACTTCAACCAATCTACGGTATTGGTGGCACCATATTTCCACACAAAAACATACACAAAGCCACTTGGATTTCACCGGATCACACTACACAGAATCAAATCGACCATATCTGCATCAACAAAAAGTTCAGGAGGACGATGGAGGATGTGAGAACCAGAAGAGGAGCTGATATAGCATCCGATCATCATTTGCTGGTCGCCAAGATGAAACTAAAACTCAAGAAGCACTGGACAACGGCGCGGACAACATCACAAAAGTTTAATACGGCCTTTCTTCGAGATGCTGACAAACTCAACAAATTCAACATAGCCCTCAGCAACAGGTTCCAGGCCTTTCATGACCTACTCAATGGAGAGGGGGCTACCATGAAGAGCAACTGGAAAGGTATCAAGGAGGCAATCGTTTCAACGTGTCAAGATGTTCTGTGCCAAAAGAAGCACCATCACAAGGAATGGATCACTGTTGGTACACTGGATAAGATTGAAGCAAGGAGGAACAAGAAGGCAGCAATCAATATCAGCCGAACCAGAGCGGAAAAAGCCAAGGCACAAGCCGAATACACAGAGTCAAACAAGCAAGTGAAGAGGAGCATCAGAACCGACAAACGTAAATATGTGGAAGATTTAGCGATGACAGCGGAAAAGGCTACAAGAGAGGGAAACATCAGACAACTGTATGATACAACAAAGAAACTTGCTGGCAATTACCGTAAACCAGAAAGACCAGTGAAAAGCAAGGAAGGCAAAGTAATCACCGACATTGAAGAACAACGAAACAGGTGGGTAGAACACTTCAAAGAACTCTTAAATCGACCAGCTCCACTGAACCCACCCAACATCGAAGCAGCAACCACAGACCTCCCAATCGATGTTGGCCCACCAACAATTGAAGAGATCAGAATGGCCATTAGACAAGTCAAGAGTGGCAAAGCAGCGGGACCAGACAACATCCCGGCAGAGGCACTGAAAGCAAATGTAGCAGCATCTGCCAAGATACTCCACATCCTCTTCAGTAAGATTTGGGACGAAGAACAAGTACCAACAGACTGGAAAAAAGGACTTCTGATCAAGATACCAAAGAAAGGCGATCTCAGCAAGTGCGACAACTACAGGGGCATCACTCTTCTCTCAATACCAGGGAAAGTCTTCAACAGAGTACTGTTAAACAGGATGAAGGATTCCGTAGATGCCCAACTTCGAGATCAACAAGCTGGATTTCGTAAGGATAGATCGTGCACAGATCAAATCGCAACTCTGCGGATCATTGTGGAACAATCAATCGAATGGAACTCATCACTGTACATCGACTACGAGAAGGCATTTGATAGCGTGGACAGGACGACACTATGGAGGCTTCTTCGACACTACGGCGTGCCTGAGAAGATAGTAAATATCATACGGAACTCCTATGATGGACTAAACTGCCAAATTGCCCACGGAGGACAACTCACCGACTCGTTTGAAGTAAAGACTGGTGTTAGGCAAGGTTGCTTACTCTCACCCTTTCTCTTTCTCCTGGTCATCGACTGGATCATGAAGTCGTCAACATCTGGAGGAAATCACGGGATACATTGGACAGGCAGGATGCAACCTGACGATCTAGACTTCGCGGATGATCTGGCGCTTCTATCACAAACGCAACAACAAATGCAGGAGAAAACGACCAGTGTAGCAGCAGCCTCAGCAGCAGTAGGTCTCAATATAAACAAAGGGAAAAGCAAGACTCTCCGATACAACACAATATGCACCAATCAAATCACACTTGACGGAGAAGCTTTGGAGGATGTGAAAACCTTTACATATCTGGGCAGCATCATTGATGAACATGGTGGATCAGATGCAGATGTGAGGGCGAGGATCGGGAAAGCAAGAGCAGCATACCTACAACTGAAAAACATCTGGAGCTCAAAACAATTGTCAACCAACACCAAGGTTAGAATTTTCAATACAAATGTGAAGACAGTTCTACTGTATGGGGTGGAGACGTAGAGAACTACGAAAGCCATTATCCAGAAGATACAAGTGTTCATCAACAGCTGTCTACGCAAAATACTTCGGATCCGATGGCCAGACACTATCAGCAACAAGTTACTGTGGGAGAGAACAAACCAGATTCCAGCAGAGGAAGAAATCAGGAAGAAGCGCTGGAAGTGGATTGGGCACACTTTGAGGAAATCACCCGATTGCGTCACAAGACAAGCCCTCAGATGGAATCCTGATGGTCAAAGGAGAAGAGGAAGACCAAAGAACACATTACGCCGAGAAATAGAGACAGATATGAGAAGAATGAACAAGAACTGGATAGAACTAGAAAAGGAAGCCCAGGACAGAGTGGGTTGGAGAAAGCTGGTCGGCGGCCTATGCTCCATTGGGAGTAACAGGCGTAAGTAAGTAATCTACGGTATTGCGCGACCATTTTTCATTGTCTACGGTGGTAACTGCCTCATACACGACAGGGATTAGCTCCACTGGTCACGGATTCTCACTGGAACTTCGAGAATTACCTCTCAAAAGTAGTCACCGATGAGCACATGATAGTTGTCAGTATAGGGTTGTGGAGATTTTTGAGTTTCGATTGAGATCATGAATCGATTAATGTTAGACTATTATTGAAAACCTGTAGTTGTTCAGAAGCTTTACTTTATATTTAATTTCTTTTTTTAATTGTATAGCATGCTTATGCTCTGGAAGCATTAAAAGATCATCTTAAACCTGGTGCACATGTTTTAGATGTTGGATCAGGTAGTGGATATTTAACGGCGTGTATGGCTCTTATGGTAAGTTTGTCTCGCCCTATTGAGACATATTATTGTCATATCACATGTCATCGTTATATCCTCTACTTATAAAGTGAATATCATATTTATGCATATATAGTGTGTGCTTTACTTACTGCCGTTTCCACATAATTTTACTAATCTACCAAGTTCATTTTTGTGTATTAGACTTTAAGCTGTATTTATTATGACTAGTTATACTACCTGGCTCTTCACAATGAAACGAATAGTAGAAAGTGTGAACTTTCATCTTTGATTTAAAGTCGGATAGTTAAGCCATCATGCCGTTCTGCTACGCATATTTCCATGTTTAAGGATAAGAAAAATAGTGATATCCCCAATATTTAAGATTACTGAAATATGACTACTTATCATTCGTTGTTTCAACTCATTTATTAATGACATGTTCGTGTGTTTGATCTCAAGCTCCATTCTAAGCATAAGGGTTAGTGATACTATTCGGCTGTCCAAATCGATGTAGGTTGGGCAGATTTCAACCCTTCCACCAATAGTTAAAAGCTGGATGCCTTTACCACTGACCTACCACATCATAACTACTGATGTTATTTCAAAGTGATATTCTCTTTCGCCATTAATTTTTGGACAGATGCTTCATATGTACCATAGGATACCAAGTTCTTATCAAAGATGTCATTCTGCTCTAATAAATGTCATTCAAAATTCAGCTTTACCGTTATGATTATTATTTAAATGATTAACATACTAAACTACATTCAAGAATATATTGTCATATTAATAGATAAAATGATTACCGATTCCATTAGGAACTTAATATGATGATGAAAATCTGACTACTAATTGTCAAAAGTAATGCTTAGTGAAAACCGAAACGTTTATCGTAAGATGATCTCGGATGCTGTTAGAGGTCTAAGGGACCTGAAAAGTAAAACTGGGTTAGTGGTGGTTTTAATGACATGAGAGCGTAACCACAGAATCCAGGGGACAATGGCTTGAAGCACGTCACACATTGTTTCTCATGAGGTTTCAGATTTATTAGCTCCGTATCTTAAAACCCTTACTTCTGGAGACGAAAATCCGTGGGTTTGATTTTTTTTAAACCCTTCTTTCGTGTAAAGAAAACAGCTGAAGATGCTGGTTATCTGAAGGAAATACTTTACTGCTATCACACTCCTCTACGGTCAGTAGTACGAATTCGTCCTCGAACTTTTAGTTGCTGCTTCTAGTCTTACCGTTCTCCATCTAAGCTACTTGATATAGTATAACCTAAACGACCAAGTGTCCCAACCAACATAGCTCTATTGAAACATCAAGACAGTAAGGCTTGACCATCACGTCAAGATAGCAGCTACGGTTATTAAGGTACCAGCTACTGATTGTAACCATCAGGTAGTTATTTTTGTTCTACAACATAGTAAATCCCTTAATTAAACTTAAGTGCTTTGATATAAAATCTCATCTAACTAGAATAAACATCGGTATAGTTCTTTCAAATTACTATCTTAGAAAGCTGATATTGATAGTTTGGAGGTTATAATTGCTCCCAGTTGCCTAATTTATTATGTTATCAACTTTTGTTACAAACTAAAGGAATTTAATTCGACAACTTATAACACTGATTAATCAATACTTACTCTTAAATATCTATTTCTTTCCTTTTATGACGTAGTAAATAAGTGAATACTCGTGTACTATTTTTCGTAGAAAGGTTAGGGGCATTAATATACTGTCCAAACTTCAATAGTTTTAATGAGTTTGAACTTTCAACCCACTGGTTCAAGGATGAAGTAATGTAACTACTAAGCAATTGCTTCATATCATTATCAATAGGCATCATTTCAAATAGATCAGTAGAGTATAGCCATAAAAAACTACAAATATAAGTTCATGGTTATAGTACTAATTCTGATAAAGCATTGTCATTACTTTTTATTTCTTTGTTTCTTATCATATCCTTTCAGTTTCTTTTAATATACTCCTATATACTTTTGGATATTGTGACAATCCAAACTGATATTCTATGTAGTTGAAAAGGTTTGGTGTATAATGTTTAAATTTATGAGTTATATTCTTCTCAAATCGATCTCAGTTGGTTTACTGTAAAAAACTAAGGGGTACTGAGTATCTATTTTTATCTTAGGTCTCACAGCAAATGCTGAACCATCAGAGCTACTGGGTTGGCGTTTTCAGTTACATTATTCGGAATACACAATTTAACCTGACAATTATTCATCGCTATTAGTGAAAACTATAACTGTTGTTTGGTAATTGTTTCTAACTCAGTAAGATATAAAATGAATGTTTTTTATACATATTACAAAGTTTGGTCAATATAAAAAAACAATGATGATCGTAACTTAATGACTGACGGTTTTACGAGTTGAAAGCGTGAGTCAATTAAAGCTAGACCACCATGGAAAACTTGGAAGCACTGGACGGCCGTTTCGTCCTATTATGGGAGTGTTAAATAATTCAGTATTGTTGATTTATTGCAGTTATGAATAGTCCCATTATTCTTTTAAATAACTTACTCTATAAATTAAATTTATTTAAAAATATTCATTTGTTTTATGTTCTCTAATTTCGATATTAAGGTAGGCCCTACAGGTGTTGCTGTAGGCATAGAACATATTGATGAGTTGACTAAATTTTCTCTGTCAAATGTTGAAAATTGGTTTAATCATAGCCAAAGTGCTCGACTATCTGGAATTGAATTAGGAAAACAGCTTAAACTTGTTACTGGTGATGGTCGTGAAGGATGGCCGTCAGATGCACCTTATGATGCAATTCACGTAGGCGCAGCAGCTTCAGTTATTCCTAATGCAGTGAGTTCAGAGATATATTTTGTAACCTAAACTTCATGAACATTAAAAGTTTTCTTTGTTATGTTTCTGGATGTGTCTGTTCACTTTTTATTTATATCAACATGAATGTTATTAGTTTATGAATAACTCATCCCCTTATTTGACTACTTCCTTCAGTTTGGCACAATCCTACAATGATCACCTCTATCTCTTAAACTATGATTCATCAGAGGCTGCATTTTTGAGATGTTTATAAAATATACATCTAATCAAGTAATTATGATGTATTACTCAAAATCTATACGATAACTACAGTCAGTATTTGGAGACGTTCGGTGGCATTTCTCACAATCTTTCACAGTAATACAGACGTATTCACCCTTTATTTTCCTCTTGGTCTTAAGTTCCAATATTCCTTCACACATACCTTTTCTTCCCTTCTTGAACAGTATTCCGAATCCTTAATATTTCTCATCATTATTACTACCAAAATTATTTATACTGCTTTTCTATCCATCTTTTTAAATTCATTTGATCGTGACTATGTGGAGTGACCAGCTGACCTGGGGAATATTGTACCTAGCTCTAGGTTGATTTCAACCCACTGACTGATGTGTTTCCCTCATTTTTCTATATCATTTTTATGTTTATTGATTTAGCTAAAAGAACAATTGAAAATCGGTGGTCGTTTAATTTGTCCTGAAGGACCAGAAGGTGGAAATCAAGCATTAGTTCAAATTGATCGTTTGGAAGATGGTTCCTTTCAAAGAAAATCTTTAATGGGTGTGATTTATGTTCCGTTAACCGATAAAGATCGACAAGTTGGGCCAAGGTAAGACTTGGATTTCTTTGAAAGATGCCCATATATATCAATTGTAAGTATTTTAATCATACTGGAAGTCAGTTGCTACTCAAACAGTTCAGTAATAACGTCTCAGATTGTGAAGCTGGGTGACATGGAATCCCATAGAGACCATCAACTCCTCTCTGATTAAATGTATGCCTTGCTAACAAATGCCAACTAACATGAAACCTTGGTCCAGTCACTTGCCAACCACTTATATGTAGAACCATTGTTTACAGCAAAATGAAGTTGTTCTTAGTTTGTGATTTTTTGTCTTATAGATGCGCTAAAATCAAGTTACTTCACTTCCCTAAATGATGTTGTAGTACTGGTAGTATGAGATATGTAGTATGAGTTTAAAATAGTTTATTAAAGGTGTCATGTGAATCGATGTGAAAATGTCTCAGCTATTACTGCTGCTGTAATTTGATGGTGGCGATTCACTTATGTGACAAATACTAGACGTTATATTGTGGAGAATGCTTATAGTCCAGGATGAGGATTTCGTGAGTGTTTTGTTTTGTGAGATGGATAGTTTAATCATGAAACTGTCATTGTCTTTCTCGATAACATTGTCAGCGCACATTTCAATAAAAAGTGAGTTATTAGAATTTCCGCATAAATGACTAGAGTCTTGTTCTGTCAACCTAGAATTAGTTTGCTTGTTGTCCATAGGTGTGTAGCGTTGCTTGCATGTTTGTTTTGATTGCTTTCACCTCTGACCTTGGAGTTATTTATCCTTCTTACTGGTTGATAGATCGGGTCAACCTCTATATATCTGTTGATCGATGAGTTGCCAGAGTACTGTTTATAAGAATTCTCTAGCCTTCCTTGTACGTCCGTTCAGTATTTCGACTTTTTCTTGATGAAAACCATCCTCACGGTTGTTCATATGGATTATGTCGACATACTGGACGCAGAGAATACAAAGAAAGCTAGTTCTTAGAAAAAAGAGGTTATATTACGTAGAACCATTCGGCACTTTTTGGCAGTGCTTACCGCGCTATTACGACTAGAAAATAACCACTTTACCTTCAGTGGTATCCAACACCACCACCTGGCAACTTGTTTGATCATCTTTACCATCACACCTTCATATCAATGCAGACTATCGATAATTAATCAGTGTGTTGTTTTTAGATTCCTTAGAGAAATAATTTCTTGCACTAGTGAAACATCCCTTCACATATTTACATATGTACATTGACAACAACATTCAAGTATAGATTTTGACCTGAAGTATTTTGTGTGCTATAACAGAATATATAATTTTAAGCTTATGAAAATTTGACGTTTATCTTCGTCGATCCACATGAAATACATGTACCTGCATATCATTGGTGTAAATAATATTTATGTTAGGAAAATTAGCTTATTTTGTTTTGGTTTGACCGGGACAAAATAGATTAGTAGTTAAAACATTTAGGCAATAGATTACTATAAATTCATTTAGTATTGCTTGTTTGAATCTTCCCATCGATGTGTTAGAACTGCAACTGGTCAGTCTCTAATTGGCATATATGCATACTGTGCGTATGCCTCGATATAGCCTTAATTCACAAGCATGGTAAGCAGAGATGGAGTCCCAAATAGGACGAAACGCGCGTCCTGGATTCCACTGCTAGCCACTATCCATCTCTGCTTACCAATCATTTACATCTATATGGAAATTTATCTATGACATAATATGATTACACATATATCGTCCAACAGTGGATTGTTGTTTTATAGGTTAGGTTTTTATATTTTCTACTGATTTTATCTTCTATATTATTCTGAATTTTTCTAATAAGTCAATCGAAATAACTACTAATAAGTATCTAACGGTTTTAAGTTGTTCAACTTGTTTGAAATTATTTTTTATGGTAAGTTTTTCTTTGCAAGTAGTATATAGATTGTAGGCGTACACTGTTAAAATATAGTCCTAAACTGATAAGTCTTGTTGACTGAACGCTATACATACTCGGATCCTAAGCTAGTCTCATAACCTCGAAGCTAGAATTACACAGCGACTTGAACACGAGAGAAAAGGCACAAAATATACGGGAAGCACTTAACTCCAAAGGTTCCTTTACGTACAGAAAATATAGGGTTTTATAGTATTTTAGAAGTCTTTGGGTTTTCCTGAAAATTCTAGAATACTACTAAACGTAGCAGCAGTCTAGTAATCAGCCAATCAGAACATCTACGTGTGACTTTTCATTTTCGCGATATTTCTAGCAAAACTTAATCAATCGCTGATTGGATAAAATGCTTCTTATTGTTTCCTGAGCTTGTTATGTCTATTGCGAGAAATTTTCAGGATCATCCAAACATAAACTAAACTAAAGCACTTGTTCAATCCACTCTAGTTTTCAATGATTACCCATTCAAGTCACTGTGTGATGTAAATTATACTCAAATTTAGTGATGTATATATATATACCCCCTACCTCGACTCACGTTATTAACTGGTGTAAAAGTTGGAAGAAAGTTAGTAGTTGCCAAATGAAGACGTAACATCAATCCATGAAGTCATTGACTGTTGGATTAAGCCATGTTGATAAGTACAGATCAGCTGGTTGGTATTTGCACGACTATAGTGACCAAAGATTGTGCAGACATAGGATGAAATGGCTCAGAAGTGATCACAATGACTTAATTGCATTCACCATTCATCTTCTTATTAACCTAGAGTTCTAGTATTCCTCCTTACATGCTTTTTTGATTCCTTTATTAAAATCATAATTTAAGTATTTAGCCTTTCTCACTACCATTTTTGCCACATTATTTTGACCCTACTATTTATCTAAGTAATTTCATGTTGTCGTGTGGATGTGGTATAGGAATTTAAGCTGGTATATATATAAACAGAAACAACCGACCAATTCGCTTAAAGAGTTAAAAAGTAAAGAAATAATTACTCCAAACATTCACAATCCACTTAAACACACTGGATCTAACATACCATGACTCTATAGCTTATCCAAAGTCCAAAAGTCAGGAATTCCTCTACGTTCAGTTTTAGATATGCATAACTCGCCATACCGTAAAACTCCAAAACGGTCAGTTCGAACCCTAGAGTGCCTAAACAAACTAGTCGACTGAAGCGTTAAAGACGTTTCCGATTTCATTTTCAGGGTGAAACAGATAGGAAATGGATGATATCTGTAAATGTTGCTTCCTTGTTCACCATTGACTGAGACTAGTGACTTTGTGAGTCAAGTACTTGAAGAACAGATCAGTATTGAAATTTCCCTGGTTAGCCTCAAAGAATTAATTCTGAAATGTATAATGAACGTTCATTTTATCTTTAATAACACATATCATAGACAAGTTGATGGAATAGCGATGGATTCATCACTAGGTTCTATCCATGTTGAGTTCTTTCTTGCAAAACTAGTAAGCTGACCTCTCAAAGAGGTTATATGGAAAGACTGAACGGCTGTTTCATCTTTTTATGGGATTTCTACAAATCCCTCTATACTAATAATAATCGTGTCCACTAATGACTGGATTCAAGATGTAACCCATTGATTTATAGCTAGAAGTCGTGAACATTGAAGATCAATCACACCGAATGTGAGACATTAATCCTTCACATTCGACGGGTGAGGGTTGCGCAATATTGTGGATTGATTAAAGTTAGACCTGTACACCAGTAGACGCTAGCGCGTTGGTTTAGAGGTTAAGCATTCGCGCGCATAACTGATGATCCTGACTTCTATTCCTGGATTTGGGTTCTAGGATGCACATCGCTTAGAAGTCCTATATCTTCTCCATTTATAAAACTCCTTCATGTTCGCTTTTTTACTTGTTAGTTTGATATTCGTGTTTGTTTTACTTTTTCACGATTCTTTTCTCTATTTTTCTCTCCCCATCCAGGAGGTGGCATTAAATCACCACTTTTCTTAACTATTGTTATTAATTTGTTTTGTTTTTCTGCTCACAGAGATCAACCAATTATTATCATTTCATCACCAACCCAATCATCACCCATGCATATTTCTTACCATAAACTATTAACTGTGTTCTTATGTTGCACTAATGTGATTTCATTAATACGGAGCACTAACGAGTAATTGTCAGCTTTCATACTGAACACTTTATTTTCTCTGTTAAAATGCAGAAACCCATTCTACTTTTTCTGGGGTGGGAGAAACTAAACTATAGAATCGTTCTTATTTAGTGTACTTTTTTACGACTTATTATACCTCATCATGATTTTGGTCTGCATTTAAATCATATACTTTCATCCATGATTATTATTTATCAGTTGAATTTCTACTGTTTTCATTTCCTATCGAGATTACCGCCCCCCCCCTCAGTATTCATTTTAATTTCTGTGCTTATTGGCTGGTTATTACTGGTAATAATCGTCATGTAGTAACTGATCAAGCATTTTTTTACTGAGGAATACTCATTATAGAGACATTAAGTGACTTATTTATATATACATTTATTTCAGTTTGGCATTTTATGATGATAAATTTTATTTATTTTAACCTGTTGCCCTAATGATTTTTTCTATTTATCTTTTTCCGCATTCCTTTCATCGCCTCCAAGTCTGTCATAAAAATGTATGTGTGTGCATGCGCGTTCTTTGAGGTTAGACACATGCTTTTCTATACGCTTTGTAACCAAAAGAAATAGTTGATACGTAGTCTTTAGTTTTCTGTTTAATGATGCCTATTTGTATTAGATTGATAAGTACAAGTTATAGTGATAAAGTTGTGTCATTCCTCACAAATGAGGAATGGTAGCATATTAGTGTAACTAACTAGCTTTTCAACCACTTTTAATCCCCGCGCAAACCAGCTGTGGTTTAAACTCCTGATCATTAATATTATCATTACCACTTCTTTTACAACAAAAAGTCCAACCTAACTCCGAATATACAAATGCCTTGTTACTGAATTGCATTCTATCGAGTTATAAGCTGAAATAATCTGTTTTTATTAAAAAGGCCGGATTTTCGTTTAAACAGCAGATGGTGTTGTAAAAAAAATCGGTTTATACTAATTTACCATTATTTATACACAAATAGTGCAGGGAGGCGCTATATATATATATATGCGCAATACCTCGCCATTCGGTTTGTTTGAGAGCTGGGATTCTGTCAAGGCACCCAAACCGAAGCAGGTGATCCTCTTAGGGACCTACTCCCCAAGCCTCTAATTTAAAGGTCTAATCTACAATGCAGTGAAACAACGTTAAAATATTCAGTTCTATGGTAGACGGTAACCAACTATAAGTTTATACGCTATTCGTTCGCTCAGGATCCTGGAGCCCAGTTGCACGATTGATTCGGAATCAGGGTTTTCCAACTCCCTTAGGTGAATCCTCTGTATTTACCAACTCGGTTAATCACGTTAACTTGTATGGTGAGTGTTCAAATTATTAAGCTTTTAGCAATGGGGAAGCGTATACCTTATGCAGATCATATGTTAATCAGTTAGCCTCTACATGATTGCTATTTTGTATTTCTTTTTCAAGTTGTTAGTGTAAATCAAATAACTTTTAGTGTTGGATTCTGTTAATAATCTAAAATTGTTGACTCAAACTTAAATGAAATCGTAGGTCTTCTTAACTCAAGTAGCGATTCTTGTACTATTAGCCACACTCTAAGTGTAGGTGCTAGTGATACTACCTGGTTTCTCAAACGAAGGTAGGCAGAGCAAGGTTCAGACCTGTGACCTAGTTGTTGAACTCCAAACTGTTTAACCACTACTTCACGAAATTTAGAATTACAAGCCCCATAATTCGTCCACTACCTGTTTATCACGATTGATTTTTCTGCGATCAATAAACGTCGTTGGTAGCACCATAGATTACTATCTACGTTGACCCTCTGGGCAATTAAATACGACAGTAAGAGCTGAAAAAGTATTGTTTTGTTCGGAGCTTACCACAATCGATTCTTGACTTCAAACAATAACTAATTAATCGTGTTATCTATCAATTTACACTATTTAAGGATTTCATTCTCCTCAACAGGTCCAAATCAACCATTTAATCAGCTACGAAGCGGGTAGATTGAGAGAGCTCTTTCCTAACCAGCTTTATCTGCCCAGAGTCAATAAACTAACTATTCACTTTTGGGTGTGCTATATTCTCTGAGCTAGATGGTTTATTCGCGGAGGTAGCGTTCCACCCACGCATGATGCAAATTAGGTTAGTTTATGCAGAAAGACAAACACTGCATTCAGTTGAGCAGTTACGTTTACTAGTGTCAAACGAAAATACAATACTGCTTCAGCTTCACCAGTTATTGTAACTTAATAAAATATACTTCCTTAAAATAGTTGTCCGTTCCACTAAACGATGCGCAATCGCGCAGGAATATACAATTTATTAGTTGCAAAAATTCAACACGTTGACAAATGACTACGATATGACGTACTGCATACATATCAATCAAACACGTGGCCTAACCACCTCGACTGAGGTGTTACGTATGCCTGAACACCGATTACCACGACGCGCTATGCTGACTAGTTTAGGGGATGGTTAGAAAAGAGTTAGGGGCAGCCAAACCAAAACGTGGCATCAGTAATTGAAGTCACTAACGTCTAGTCTGAGCCATGTTGGCAGATGCAGACTACTTGGTTGGGGTCCGCGTGACTATCGTAACCAATGGTTGGAGACTCTAGGTGACATGGCTCAGAATCGATCACAGTGGCGTAGGTGTATACACTCTTTATCTTCTCTTAAACCTTAAGATTAAAATTGCTTCATATCTGTCTTCCTTCCTATACTATATCCTTATATACAACTTTTCTTTCATATAATACCACCACTAAATTAACTATTTCTATGAATCCGGTGTTCATCTTGTTGTGCTAACGAGATATGGCAACTTAGACCGATGCATACGTGTGCCTGGTCCTACGTTGTAGCTGACTGGATTCAAAGTAGATCTGATATTTATGCTAAAGTTTATGCAGATCGATGTTTTTTTCATGACAAATATATATTTCAACTAGACTCTGGTAATCACATCCTGAATTACTAAGAAATTCAATATATGTAATTTGATTGTTTTGCTTCGTTTTTGTTTGAATGTTTTTTGCTCGTACTATTTATCTGAACTGTTCATTCTTTTTTAATTTAGATTACAAAGAGACGACTTGTAACATACATAATGATAGAATACAACAGTCCAATTTCATAAATGAGATCTTAAAAGTTGTAGCTATTTTGTAAAATAAGTTTGTTTATAAAAATATGTGACCTTTTATTTTCGAATCATATTTTCAGGAGTTTTTGTGACAAAATGGGTAGATCGTTATGCTGGACATTGTCATTCAGTATAAATGATTGTATGTTGTTGTTTGTGGTACTAATCAGACATGCTTGTTCCTTACAAGAAATGGATATGTTGTGTAATAGCCTAGCCTAATATACAATAATTGCCTAGAATATATTAAACTACAATGATTGAATGCGATCAGTCGATAAGTAAATAATCCTAAGACTAAACACGTTCTGGGAAGGAACGTAATCTAATTAGAGCGTGAGCCAAGTTCATACCTAGAACGTGTAAAACAAGACGAGAACATTTCTATTAACTCATCAAGCTATGATATTTAAATGCTTGGAGCACTATGAAACAAGTGTAAGATGTTTATGCAACGGTGATTTGTTACTTATCAAAAACAAAAGTGTCTACTCCTAAAACTGATTCTTGATGGAATTTGTACCCATACAAAGGTTAGAATCCCCAACTTTAGACAACTAAGTTTTTATGTAGTATAGACTTATATACGTTAACAATACTTTTATACATCTCAATTTATAAAGCAGTCTCGATTTACTGGTCGACAAAAATCTTATTTGTTTCGCACATGCGCCGTACAGTTAGGAAAGAATGTGTGAATCAGTAATATAAGCATGCTTTGTGTTAATGCCTTCATGGAATGCGTACTTAAAAGCGGAAACAAGACATCTTGCCTAGTCTATATTTAACAATTTTTCGTGGTCATCAACCTATATCGATCAATTTCTAATATACTATCCTTATATTATTTATGACTATTCTGACCAGATGGAACTAAATAACTCACCGAACGTCTTGTCAATTATACAATGATCGCTAACTGATTTTACGAAGCACGTTATAATATATAACATAACTTGGATCGTCATGTTGATGGACACTTCACTATTTATGTAGTCATATATCTCAATATGTTGTTTACGAAGTACACCAATGGCGTTATTGAAGCGACATGATATGAAGTCGAGCTAGATAAACTGTTTGTCACGCACAGAAGAGCAAATTCACTCACCAAACTGCTTATACACCATTAAGTTATTTACAAAGTTCGCATTTCGGTAAGATGCTTACTCTTGCAAATGGGGTATTCAAACTACAATTATGATGCTTAACGGATATCCTATTTGTTGAAGCCATTGTGCTACCGTTACCACAAATCCCTTTCCTAGACATTAAGGATTCTCTAATTCATCAAAATAATATTGATCTAGACATTGTGTCAATTCTCCCAAAAACAACTCCAATTTCTTAACTAACCATTAAAAGTCAAAACTGGTTCACAAAACAATCTTTATACACCATATATTGACGTTGTAGTTCTTTGGGATGTTTCTACTAAAGTAAAAATTTTAACCTTACAAACCAACTAATCAGTTCCCACAACAGCATTTTAAACAATACTTCTTAATGCCCGGATGATTTTGTTCAGCTTATTTAACAACGTACATAAAAAATTATATCAGCAAACGCCCAGGATTTTCGAAAATTGTTTCACATTTACTTGTTGAGTCGTGAAATCAATTTTTCGACGAATCTCAGGAGGCCTTATTCTTGGTAACCGCCTCTATACATCATAAGTCCCATATTACAAATTAATTTTTGTTTAAAAGTGATTCAATAATGTGACTAAATGATAATTGGATCAGCTACTGAAGATAACGAAACAAACCGAAACATCAACGCATTTTATATTGTCACTATTACTTGTTATAACTTGAAATTTTTATACCTAGGAATATTTCTTGTTAGGGACAAAGAGAAAACACGACTGATTAGGTGTGCAGTAAGATCATGTATAGAAAAATGCTATGCACATGTAATATTACACAATACGATTAGAAAGTCAGCAGATTCAATGAAGAATCTTAAGACTACCTTTTTAAAAAGAAAAAACAACCTATTCAGCAAGTACGATGATAAACAGGAAGAAGTATTCTAGTAGACTATAACCATACGAGAATTATATCATGTCCGTCTTTTTTGAAGTTCGGTAAACACTTGGAGCTACCTAGATTTTTTTAGAAAAGGTAACAAAGAGACGATGGTAATAATAAGTTAACTCATCTGTCAAGTATTTAAGTTTTAGCTACACTGAGCGTGAGGGATAAAATAATATTTCCGGTTGCCTAAACTGAAGTAGACAGTAGGGTTATGACCAGGGACTTGGCGGGTAAGAGTCAGACGCCTTAATCACAAACACCTCCCCCCAAGTTGGAGAGGCATAGGTATGGATATTTTACAATATTATACAATGGAAGGTTCTACTACATCTTTTATTTGTTATGCTCTTAAGATATGAATTCCAACTTCCGAGAAAAATAAGTGTAACATATAACTAGAACAAGTAGGTTTGTGTACGTTGATTTGAATAACCTGTATTTTTTTATGAGTACCAGCAACAATACTATGTGATTATACAAACTGAAGATAAAGCGAGATTTGAACTTGAAACGCTACACTTGAAAGTCGGCTGTCCAACCACAAGTGCTTTACAACACAACAGGAAAACACTGATTTATCAGTGAGAACTACAACTTAAGAGTATGTATAACGCCTTCATATAGCAAAAGTAGAGGTACGTCGAAAAGTAATTCGACTCTCGATTTAAATCAGCATTGTATGGATAACAAAAAATGCATTTTTATGTTTCCAACATGTCAAAAGAGTCAGAATTACGTCGGGGATGTGGGCCACTGAATTCAAACCTAGCGGTCTAATGGGTGACAAAATTACCCCAAAAACGGAAAGTACTGGACTTAATCTCCGGAGGGGTTGTAGAAGTCCACTTGCTCCCGACGTATCCCACTGTACGAGAGCCAAACACCTCTCTTGTGACCCAAGTTTTTAATAGTTCTCCAATTGATTTCCTTGGCAATAATCAACTTTATAATTACTGTCAAATAGTAGTTCAATATTTTCATTAGACTAACAACAGTATTAAAGGTTAGGTTGCCTACCAGTAAACTACATATGGATTTCTTTTGGTAAATCTCTACTAAAGCCAAGTTCTCGCATTTTCGTAACGAAATTTCCCTCTTTAGTTGCTTTATCACCAGCTGCAGCTAGTTTTTTTCTCTCATCAGAGGTTTCACCAACTGGACCATAACGTTTTTCCCATAGTAAACGATGTTTCTGTTTCATAAAAGCATCAACAACATTTGCCGTCCAGTGTAATTCTCCATCTTATAAAAGGAATAAGTAAATGAAATGTGATGAAAAAACTGACAGTTATTAAATTGCGTACAAAATGCGTTTCGATAGAATCTTTTATTGAGAGAGACTCAAAGAAGCATCGTAAACTAAACAGAAGAGTGTAAATTGACATGATCGAATAAACCTCAGTTCGTTGCGTTGAGACAAAATATTTAAAGTTTGGTCGTTACAGAGACTGTTCGGGCCTGCGATAAGACAGTAATCAAGGTATGCATGCACGAAATCAAGACCTCGGAATGCTTTATGCACTTGGTTCCCATCATTATGTTGAAGAGTACGACATCGACGAATCTGAAAAGTTTGGGCAGCATTTCTTAAACCTAAAGTCAGTCAGTTACAGAGTAGAACCTAGCACATATCTACATTGGTTCGAGTTACCATAAACCGAAAGGCGTACACAAAAATTCATAGTCTGAAGGGAGTGATGACTATGGTCTTTGAAATATCGGCCGCAGTAATGTGAATTTAGCTATATCCTTTAAGCAAGTGTATTTTTGAAAAGATGGTCGTACTTTTCAAGACCCTTATCAAATTGCGGATGTGTGGTAGGGGGTAACGGTCAGGGTTGGTGTATGCACTAGTTTGTAGATTACAACTTTTAGGCCGCCAGTTATCACTGTCCTAGTAATTATATCCAATAAAGATGTCCATATAATGCAAAACATAGCCGACTACACATAGTAACTTCGGTTGCGCTTATGGTCCTTGTTAAAGATCGAGTATCGATGGGAATATAAGGAATGGGATAACATTAAAACTTAAAATCTAGGGAAATGTGAAAAAAGTGCGTCTGCATCACTAAGACTGATTTTAAGTCATATCGCGCAACAATTACGATCACCGACTGGTCATTTGCAGTTTAAGAAGACAAGTATTATAGACTATATGACAATTCAAGTGTTAAAATAATGCGCAGAGTGATGATCAATTGGTGATTTGGAATGATTACATTGTAGATAATAAGTGATTAGAATACTGGGTCTACCAACTCATTATATTGACTTACAGTTTCTAAGTGGATGAAAATTAACACAAATTAACCACACACATAGCAGCAGTCGTAAATTAAAGTAAGAACTGTGTTTAACTACAGTGGGCACTCAATTTCGAATTATTTAAACCCATGTTTGTTTCAACAAGAGATTTATTATTAAGGGATAAAATACACGCAAAAACATACATTTAATATAGTAGTTGACAGCTGCATCTTCATATTCAGTGAACATAGGACCGCAGAATCGATAAACATCTTCTTTTTCATACTTGTACCACCGCATACATTCATTTTTGCGTTTTCGCAGAATTCGAACTATATTGAGATCCACCAACCTAAACAAACATTTGAAATGTTCCTCCTAAATGCAATAAAATGATTGTCGACAAAAGGTCTGAGACCAAAAAAACGGATAGAAAATATATCCTGCAGATGACTTTATCGTGATCGAACACTACATATAATACCAGGGCAATGCACACTCTCAACTCTGTTGATAGGGCCGAACGTTGAGCTTTGGCCAAGAGAAATTTTCAATGTGAAACATGGAGCATTTAAACACGCTTTAGGGAGAAACTGAACCCGTTTATACATCTATTTACCTTGAATGATATCACTAGTAAACTCACAAAAAACTTCTGATACGAAGTAATTATCTTCAAAGCTGGTAAGCACTTGAGCCGCCAACAAAAAGTACAAGCAGCTTGGTTTCTAAATACTGAGAGTGACTTTAGTAATTTAATTTAAATGAAAAACAGGTAGTTTACTAAATGATATGTACAAGATATTTGAACATAGGGGACAGGTTGTTACGATACATACTGATATACAATCACTTTTTCAATATTACGAGTACACTTATGAGTCTTTCCACTTATCATAATGGTTAACTAGGTGTGATTGTCGTGAAAATTGATTGTTTTCATTCATCATCGAAGCCACTTAAGTTTCCCTTCATATATAAGTCGAGATAGGTAGATCGTATGAAAATTTAGCTAAGGATGAACAGTAGTGCAAAGTTATATTTCTATTAGCAAACACTTGTATTATACTGATGAAGTAGTTCCTGATTTATATACCGACTGCAAAAACCTACCGGGAAAAGAATGTAATGAAGTTGTTCATACAAAGACTACAGATCCGACCTCAACATTCGACAAACAAGCTCACTAATGCGCACACGCTTGGGTACTGAGTTAATACCAGAAACAGATATATTCAAAATTCATTTGGACAAAATTACCCGGAATAGATGCTTACCGGTCCCTATGATATTGCTGATTGGCCTCCTCGATGCAAGCCTTGTCATTAGTTAAACACTGGTCTATCGTTGGAACACGGTCGTACCGCTTATGATAATATGGGTATGGAGTGCGAACTCTGTCAACGACTTGTTCTACAGAAATATCTTCAGTAATTTAGTTTTTACCGCGAAAAAGAGAGACAGGTTTGTCAATTATTGACCCAATGATGTTTGTAAATCGGTACTTGAAACTTGGTTTGAACTCTCTGCAGAGTTCTTCCCTGGTAATATCATCATGATCATCATGATCAACATCACCTCCCATAGTAGCGAATGGTACAAACTACGCTCCAGTAAAATTTTAATATCCTATTGTTCAATTTCCAGTTTATGAAAGAAATGAGCCGGGTAACTTTAACTTATCTTATGGATGGTGTCTCTTAATTGTGCGTGTTTCGTCTTAAAAAACGTGTCACCAAACAGGGCTTTAATTACGTATTAACGTAAGGAGTATATAATGACATATGTGTTTAACAGTTTTCTTAACAACAAAAATAAGTCCACACGTTTTTACCTTATTAGTGACGCTTTGTTTGTACCCACACTCATCCAATATCTACTGTTTATCTGTGTGGAATGTGAATTGATATTAATCAAGTAGTGGAAGAACATTTGTTAATCGGTTGAACTCTGATGATAGCGGTTACCCCCGAGGGAGCTTTCAAATAGCATTCATTACATAACATATGCCATCGTTTTTGTCATTCGTCATGCCATTTTTTGTGATTCCTAATTTTCTGCTCATAAGTTTCACTTCTGTCCATAGATTTATTATTTATTTTCGTATATTTTCATTAGCTTTGCTCATTGCTACATCTTGAATAAGTTTTTGACTGGGTCCGCTAATGATACTGAGGATGCAACGGATATTCTAATTTTACAACTAGTTACCAGTAGCATCTTCTATGTTCGATCGTTCCCAGTCAGATAGAAATCAGAAGTCAGACGAGAAGAGACAGGAAAGATATATTTGTTTCGTTACCAATATATCGAGAACCTTTTATATGAGCTGGCTAATGAAACGTAGGAGCTGTGTTCCACGCCGTGTTGCAACGTGATCTGGTGCGGATGCATGACCGAAAGCCTTCAGCTAAACAAGTCCACTTAAACAACGTGGTCAGCATCCAATGTCGAACACTTAAAGATGTTCTGGATATCTTACTCTTCTTCCAGAACGCGTTGTTTTAGGTTTATCTATCGACGTTGACGAAGTATCGAGTTGTGTGTCGGTTGTCGTGTGGGGTACTACAGGTGTAATATCTGTGTCGTTTGCTTGTACCGAAGGAAAATTGACGTAGCTAGGGTTTCCTTCTAAGTACGCTGCTTTGAGTCGATCGATACTGATGCTATCGTTCGTACCGTTCTTATCGACTACATAGTACTTGGGTTCACGTTGAAGAACTTTGAAGGGTCCTTCGTATGCTGATTCGAGAGGTCGTCGATGTGAATCTCGACGAACGAAGACATGTGTACTATGTCGTAATTCAGGTTGAACGAAAACATCAGTTGATTGAGGTCGAGTGTGAGCAGGTTTAACTGAACGCATAGCGTTTGTAAGCCTACTCGTGTAAGAGTTTAGATCCATGTTATATGAAGAAGCTGAAGGATCCATGAATTCTCCTGGGAGTCAGAGTGTCGTTCCGTAAACGAGTTGAGATGCCGTGTATCCAATGTCAGCTTTCATTGCATTGTGGATACCTAGCAAGACGAGTAGAAGAGCTTCTGTCCACTGTGAAACGTTTGAAGCTGATAATGAAGCTTTTAATTGTCGATGAAAACGTTCTACCAACCCGTTTGCTTGTGGGTGGTAGGCGGTCGTTCGGAAGCGCGTGATTCCTAATAGTGAGGTGAGACAACGGAAAAGTCCAGATTCGAACTGGCGTCCGCGGTTTGTAGTGATCGTGGAAGGGCAGCCGAAATTTGCTACCCATCGTTCGACGAAAGCGCGAGCCACTGTTTCAGCAGTAATGTCCTTAATCGGTACTGCTTCTGGCCATCGAGTAAAACGGTCTACGCATGTTAGGAGATATGAGTATCCGTTCGAGTCGGGTAAGGGTCCTACTAAATCTAGATGGACGTGGTCGAAACGAGCGTCAGGGGTTTTGAAAGAGACTAAAGGACATTTGTTGTGTCTGATTACCTCAGATTTCTGACAGCTTACACAGGAGCGTGACCACTCCCTCACGTCTTTATTCATGCCGGGCCAACAAAAGCGTTCGGCTATAAGTTTGACTGTTGCACGAGCACCTGGATGAGAAAGATTGCAACGTGTTGAAGACGTTGCGTCGATAATGTTTTGGTACAATTGGACGATCCCTACCTGTAGATGTGTCACAGAGTAAGATTTCCTTATCTGTTCCCATCTGTTTAATACTTAGTTTTAGAGTTGTCGAGGATAACTCATGCTGAAGATCAATGTCTTCTTTTTGAAGCTGAGCGAGTTTAAGAAGGTCGATTCCTTGGAAACTGTTCAAGGAACTTATTCGAGACAAGGCGTCTGCGACTACGTTATTTACTCCAGAAATGTGTTGTGTGTCTGAAGTAAACTGCGAAATGTAGTCGAGTTGTCGAGACTCTCGCGGTGAGTACTTGTCTGAAGATGAACTTAAAGAGAAGGTAAGAGGTTTGTGATTGGTAAAAAGCGTGAATTCTCTTCCTTCGATGGAATGTTGGAAATGCCGTACAGCACAATACATAGCTGGGAGTTCCCTACCGAACGTGCTGTACCTAGATTCCGTGTCTAGCAAAACGTCTCGAAAAAAATCCTAAAGGTTGCCACGAGTGGCATTGCCAGCCAACTCAAGGACTTCGGCCGCCAGGTACTCGAGGACAGATGCACCAGCCCCGACACGTTCTGCGTAGTTACCCTTGCGAAGGAGACGATGGACACGACCAACTGGGAACTGCAGGCCAGCAGCTACAGCTACAATACCTATGGCCGATGATCCGATAGCAAGTTCGCAGTGTTAAAAATTGGTTGACAAATGATTGACACTTGGTTTGCGAATTTTTAAAGATAATCTATGGTGCTTATATGAACCAATGATTCCTTTGTACTAGATGACTGCTTGATTTGGAATTCCAAATACAATGAATTCGTTCGTGTTCATCAAGTAATTCCTGATTAAATTGCGTTATTTCTGGGACCCCAAGTCTATAATATCATTCAAATACTCCTAACTATCACACCATTCCACAAATTCTCCTTCCCCGAAGACGATAAACATGCGAAGTTAGTATTACACTATCTAATGAATGTGACTATATCGCCTCTAGCCCTTCTGCATGGCATGGAGAGTAAGTTTAGTTTGGCAAATTACTTGTACTATGGCAGCCTTTTGATTCCTTGAAGCGATCTGGTTACAGTTTTGAGTGTTGTTGCGATAATTATAAGTATTTGAATTATTATGCAAACTAAGAATTCCCAACCTAATTCTCAATTTAAATCAGGTGGAACTAATTAAGCAGGAACGGATGTATTGCATTTGGGATTCAAAAGTAGGCACACATCGAGTATTAAATAATCATTGTTTCATACAAACACTACAGTTTTCCATTGACTTGCTGAGTTTTTAGTCAGTGGGTTGGTATTGAGGATACAACGGATATTCTAGTTTTACAACTAGCAACCAGTAGTATCTTCTATAATCGATCGTTCCCAGTCAAATAGAAATCAGAAGTCAGACGAGAAGAGACAGGAAAGATATATTTGATGCGTTACCAATATATCGAGAGACTTCGTTCTTAACTGTCTATTGTAACGTTGCCATGAGTTGTTAACACATTGTTGTAAGACTCCTCCGATTGCTGAGTCGGATGCGTCTACGGCGATACTAATGAGCGCTTGAGTGTCCTGATGAGCAAGCATGGCTGTCTTAGCGATGTGTTCCTTAACTGTGGAGAATGCTTTATGGGCTGTGTCGTCGAAACTAATTGATTTTGCATTTCCACGAAACTGGTTGGTTAACGGTTTCATAAGGGATGTGCATTTGGGTATGAACCGTCTATAGAAACTTACAAGTCCGTTGAAAGTTCGTAACTGTTTGATCGTGGTCGGTTCTGGGTAATCCAGAATGGCCGCCACTTTGCTCCTAAGGGGTCGGATGCCTTGGGCATCAATGGTGTGTCCTAGGAAGTCTAAGGAGTTTGTTCCGATTTGGCATTTCTGAATGTTTATAGTAATGCCATGCCTTTGGAGTCGATTGAAAACAATGTCCAGATGCTTGAGATGTGATTCTCTGTCCGGACTTGCTATTAGACAGTCATCAACATACGCATGTACGAAGTTGAGACCTCGGAAGACGTCGTCTATAAACCTTTGGAAGGTTTGAGCCGCATTTCTTAAACCAAAAGGCATTCGTAGAAATTCGTAAAGACAGAAAGGAGTGATGATGGCGGTTTTAGGAATGTCGTCAGGTGCCATCGGTATTTGGTTATAGGCCTTAACTAAGTCGATTTTTGAAAAGGCAATTGTACCTTTCAAGGTAGCTGTCAAATCGTGAATATGAGGCAGCGGGTAACGATCGGGAATGGTTTTAGCATTCAGACGCCGATAATCACCAGTTGGCTGCCAATCGTTGCTGTCCTTTTTAGGGACCATGTGTAATGGGGATGACCATGGACTATTTGATGGTCGAATTATACCTAAGTCTATCATATGGTCGAATTCGTTTTTAGCTAACCTAAGTTTTTCGGGAGCGAGTCCACGGGCTTTTGAGAATACAGGTGGTCATGTATTCGAGATGTGATGTGTAACATTGCTGGTTACACAAAACAATTTCGATTGCGATTGGTATATCCCGGGGTATTTGTCGAGTACTGATTGGTACAATGGGTCTATGGTGTGCTTAATCGTGACTGGGGATAACCTGCAACTGGAACAAGGAGTTACGCAAACGGATAACTTAGTGTTTCCGTCTATTAACCTTCGTGAGCGTGTGTCGATTAGTAGATTGTGGTGTTGTAACAGATCGATACCCATGATTGGCATAGAGACATCTGCAACCACGAAAATCCAGTGTATGGGTTTGCGTAAACCCACGTTAAGGTAAACGTACCTTTTACCGTAAGTAGCGATCGGCTTTCCGTTTGCCGCCTGTAAACTTGAAACAGACTCGCGAAGTCTGTCATCGGGATTTGCTGGAAGAACGCTAACTTCTACGCCAGTGTCGACGAGGTAGCGAACTTTCGTAGTCACATCCGTGACATATAAGAGGCGGCTGTGTTCGCCGGCTACGGTTGCTGTTAACGCGTGCCGGTTGGGAAGTTTCCCGAAATCTTATTCGTGTCAGTCGCCTTAGACTTCAGGTA